GAAAACAGGTGATCTTCGACTATGTGTGGATTACCGAAAGCTTAATAAGACAATGGTTAAAGATAATTATCCTTTACCTTTAATCGACGATTTGTTAAACACTTTGGTAAATAAAACCATATTTTCGAAATAAAATATAAAACATGGCTACTTTCATGTGTTCGTGGACAGTGACTCAATAAAGTATACTTCATTTATGACGCCTTTAGGACAATTTGAATTTATGCTGATGCCAATGCGGCTAAAAATTGCTCCGGCGCACAATGGCCGATTTGGCTTATCTAGTTTGGAATGGAATTTCATAAAAAATAACGATAATTTTACAAAGTTTGAAATTTTTATGCAATGTCAACCCAAAAGGGGATTTCAATTTAATTTTTTATTTTTAAATTATAATTTTTTTTTTAATTTTTTTTAATTGAATATTTATTTTGTTTTTAAAGATGTTATTTAAAAAAATAAACCTATTTCAATTTTTCGATTCTGAATCGGAATTTTCTTGTTGTACATTGTAGTCCAAAGTTAAATTTTGACCTTCAATATCAAAAGAAACTTGTTTGCTCGAGTTATTGGCCGAACTTTTGCATAAACTTGTTATTACTGGATCCGACGATACTAACAATAAGTGCAAAAGATGTTAGACCGCGAGTTTTTGCGCGTAGGGTTCAAGCGAAAATTTCTTAAATCTTTGTTTCGGGCTTCCAAGGCTTCTTCTGACAACATCCCGATTGGAAGTGGTACAGTTTTGATAATATCCGCTCCGGGAATAAAAATCTTGTGCACTGAGGAAGGTATGTAAAACCACGGATATTCTTTAAAAAAAATGCGTGCAGTTTCGAAAGCATATTCGCGAAATCTCTGAATGTTAATGGTGTATCCAGAGGCCATACAGCGTGTTCTTGTTCCCGAAACGCTTTATATCCCTATTACATTTTCTCAACCTTTTACATAGGATTTTACTAAAATTTTTAACGGTGCAATGTATAAAATTCAAATCCGTTTCATAACATTTAGATTTGTCCAGAAAATTCTCAAAAATAGGCTCAACTATATCCCAAACTTTAGCAGGGGCACGTTAGGGCAGCTGATCTTGAATATTTTACACACTGGACGAACCATAGTTTACCACAGATATTCACTTTTTGCGGGACGGGCCTCACAAAATTGTAGTCTACTGAAGCTGAAGTTTTCTTTCAAAAAGCGGGCTACAAACATTGATGGATTTGAACTAAAACTACGAATATAACATCTACTCACAGGTCACAAAACATTCATTTTATTTTACTACATACCTTGAACTTTAGGAAAATGGGGAACTTGTTTCAAAACAGGTGAAATCCAACAAAATGTCGCAAATATAAAAATAAGTGCATCAATCAAGCTATACGTTTAGTGCTACCATATGATCTAGTTTATCGAATTTTTCAATCATAGTTTTTTTTTTCGATAAATGACTATTTTACTATCGGTAAAAACAAAACTTTTTTTATTTTTAACAGTTAAAAATTTGCTAAGTCTAAAGCTAAAACAGCCAAATCGGCCACTGTGCGGCGGTGTTTCAACGATTTATTAATACAATTTTTGCAGACATGGTAAGGGATGGTAACGTAGTAATATATTTGGACGATATCACGATCGCCAGTAAAAAGATACAAGAACATCTAAATGTTCTTAGGGAAGTTTTTGATCGCTTAGGTGTTAGAGATTTTCCCGTTCCAGATAAAATTCAAGGTGTTAGAAGCTTTTCAGGTTTATGTTCGTATTTTAAAGATTCAAAAAGAATTTTTCAATGATCACAAAATCATTATGAGAACTGTTAAAGAAAGATAAAGAGTTTGTATTCGAAGAGAAGGAATTACAAAGTTTCGAGATGCTTAAGAAAATGTTAGTGGAAGCTCCAGTGTGGGGATTATATTATTACAAAGACGAGATAGAATTGCATACAGATGCAAGCGCACAAAGAAAAGAGGATACAAAGTTACACCCTATTTTTTATTTTTCAAAGGCCACAACAAAAGACGAAGCAAATTATCATATAATTAAACTTGAACGTTAGCGATAATTTATGCTCTAAGAAAATTTTGAATTTATGTGCAAGGTAGACGATTTAGAATAGTTACTGATTGTAACCCACTGACGTTAACATTGAATAGGATTGAGTTGAACCCCTTGCTTGAGTATGACTTTGAGTTAGTTCATAAAACGGGTAAACTTATGCAACTCGTAGACGCGTTAAGTAGGAATACGAATATATCTCAAAATGTTCGTAAACGGACTTAGAAACGATAGAAATACGCGAGCTTTTACCAAAGTCTCGTTAAATGTTTGCAAACGGACTCAGAAAAGAGCGTTTAGTAAACAAAAACCGGGCGACATATTTTTCAGCCTTATGTCCAGTTTTCAATCACTTTTGAGCTCGTTTGCGATAGTTTTTCAAGACTTTATCGTTTTTCCATGGAAACTGACTGATGCGTAGTTTCTCGGCACACGGAATCGTTCGGTTCTTTTCGTTTCTTTTCTGCGTGCGCTCTTTTGTGATCGGAAACTTGCAGAGTGCAGTCTAGGAAAATTGAGTGTTTAGTGCTGAGACCAAAAAGTGAAAAAAATGTCAAACAACTACACAAGTCCTTTTAATGCTTCTGAAGACACTCAGAAGTCAGGTAAGAAAACGTCTAAATGTATTTCAAATAAATACATTACAATTCTGTTTTTATTACAGCTATTTTAGACAAATTAGAAAGACTTAATAAGAAAATGCACCTAATCATAAACAAGTAGGGACATCTCCTTCATCCGCAGAGAATTTAGCTAAAACCCTACGGTACATGCTACAAGTTTGGTCCAGGAACTAGCTGACAGATCCAAAATTGATGTGAACCCACTCACAATAACTAGGGCTCTAAACAATGAAGGATTCCGCAGCAGGACTCCTCGCAAGAAACCTCTCATAAGTGAGAAAAATCGTGCCCTTCGTATGGAGTTCGCAAAAGAGCACCTTAACAAGGATTATGAGTTCTGGAAAAAGGTTTTGTTTACTGATGAGTCCAAATATAACATCTTTGGATATGATACCATGGCCAAGGTTTGGAGGAAATCCAACACTGCAATGGATCCCAAGCACCTCATTCCAACAGTAAAGCATGGCGGTGGGAGTGACATGGTTTGGGGAGCAGTTGCAGCGTCGGGAGTAGGCAACTTGGTGTTCATCGAGGGTAACATGGATCGTTTCCAATATAAGACCATATTGGAAAATCATTTGAAGTCATCGGTGGACAAACTATGCCTTGGCCCAAGCTGGATCTTCCAACAGGACAATGATCTTAAGCATACAGCGAAGATAGTGAAGGATTGGCTGCTTTATTATGCCCCCCGGCAATTATATTCACCACCACAAAGTCCGGACTGGAATATAATAAAGCACGTTTGGGAAATTTTGGAACGAAAAATTTGCTCCTATGCTGCGAGAAAAACTTCAAGAGGAGTGGAAAAAATAACAGGAGCAGAGATGGAAAATTTAGCTTTTTCAATCATTCTTGTATATTCTTAGAGTACGTTGTTGTTTTTGTAGAGGTTGCTCTCACTGGGCTCTCTCTTTTTTGATCTCATCGCTATCAAACTCTATCAGAGAGTTGGAGGGAGCTATAAACTATTAATTTATGTGAGATATTATTGAGTTCTGTTTATTAATATTATTTCGCGGTGCACAGGTAATGAATATAACAATTGGCTTTTATTAAACTACTGGATAAATGCTGATGCTTTCTGCTGATTTTCCACACACGTTCGGCTGCTTCGGATTCTCTCCTGCTACCATAGAGTAAGAAACTATATAGAGGTTTCATTTGCTCTGCCCGCGCTCTCGAGTGACTTTGCCAGTGATGCCACGTAGGGGAAAAACCGAAAAAAAGAGAGTTTTTCATTTGTTCGAATCGAGCTTCATTCCATGCCCATGGTGAATTCTTATTGCTGCACTGGTCGCTCTTATTCCTAAGGATTGGTGCGAAATCTCCCCATACTATTGCTTGTGCTTCGCACATGTTAGAAGTGGTGAGAAACCGAAGTTAGAAGAAGTTAGCTTCGAACATGGCTCTCAGCAGAGCTTTGGCAGAGGCCCGGGCCATAGAGTAATAATGTATAGAGCCGTCATTTGCTCTGCCCGCGCTCTCGAGTGACTTTGCCAGTGATGCCACGTAGGGGAAAAACGGAAAAAAAGAGAGTTTTGCAAATGTTCGAATCGAGCCTGAATCCATGCCCATGGTGAATTCTTATTGCTGCACTGGTCGCTCTTATTCCTAAGGATAGGTGCGAGAATTCCCCATACTATTGCTTGTGCTTCGCACATGTTAGAAGTGGTGAGAAACCGAAGTTAGAAGAAGTTAGCTTCGAACATGGCTCTCAGCAGAGCTTTGGCAGAGGCCCGGGCAGAGCAAATGAAACCTCTATATAGTTTCTTACTCTATGCCCGGGCAGAGCAAATGAAACCTCTATATAGTTTCTTACTCTATGCCTTTAGTAGATCTGCTTGCCTACTCTCTGTTACATTTACACGGTGTTAAACGGTGTTAAACTATATCTTTAGGGATATCTACATATATCATACCCCTACGATAATATGTCCAGTATAGGAAATTGTTCTTATTGTTCAATAGTAAGATTTAGATTTTAAGGTTTGAACGTTTTTTTTTTTAATGATAGTTTTGAACACCTTTATTAAATGGAAAAAATATATATATTTTATTTTTCTTGTAATTAAAGAAATTTATATATTTTAAGAGTTGTATTTTAACTAAGTCAGACTGAATCCTATTTAAACAAACATTTAATTTCAGAAACCATTTGGTTCATACTTTTAATTACCTTTTAACACCATTTATTATTTATTGGTAATAATAAATTAATATTTATTTTAAATATTAAATCCGTTTAGGAAATTTGTAGCTTAAAATCCTTATAAAAAGGTGCTGAATATATATATCTAGTATAGTCCTTGGTAAACTTACCTTTTTCATTTCCTCTACCAAACGCGGTCCTGGCTTCCAAAAGCCTCGCCCACAGCTAAACTGAGGAGTGTAGAATCCAGGACGTTGACTTATTACCCAAAGAGCGTTGTAAAACAGAACAACTGAGTCATAAACCATCTGTGTTCCAAGTGAATCAAACTACAAGGGGATAATAATATAATGAGCACAACATCAGGCGGGTTATATTATTCGGTCCTACCCTGGTTTCAACCTCATTGTCGAACACATCAATCTCATCGTGAACTGGCGGGGGAATATAGGATCGTATCCTGACAGCCGCCACGGACACAGTGAATTCCCGCGAATAAAATCGATCGACGCCGCTTACATGTGTATCCAGATTCGTTAGAAATAAATGCTGCGTCAAATAAATAAAACTTATTACATATGTGCAAAAGTCAAAATAAGGTTTTATTGCTAAAAGGGATATAAACACAGTTTTTTAAGAAGTGTATGCACTCATAAAAATAAATATCTTCATTATGAAACATAAAACCATTTAAATTTTACTACTTCGTTGGGCATTTTCAATAAAAGCATTTTCTTAAGTTTAAAAGCGAAAATTTATTTAAAAATGCTTATAGAAAATCATACAAATTCAAGAAAGGATTTTTCTTAAATGAGGTAAATGTCTAGTAGCTAACAAAGTTTTTGGCTTATTGCCCAATTAAGCGGACTTTAACGATACTGCTGAGAATAGCCATTTGATTGCAAGCAATTCCCTATTGAAAATCAATTGTATTCTGATCGACCCAAAAAAAACTTAACAGAGAGTACGGGTTCCACAGCACGGCTCAAAACCAAGTTTAAACGGAGACTTTATCTGCCTAAAAAATTGTATCAGTGCACTATGGGGTTTTTGACCATTTTATGTGGCATTTAGGCATTTTTTAAATGTGCTCTAATTTAAAAAAAAATGGGAATGCATCAACGAACATCAAACTGTTATGCCTTATACTCAAAATGTTAATATTTAACAGCATATGTTACAGTTGTAAAGTCAGCTGTTGCATCCGAAAGCATATGCGCTAGGGTTGCAATTTTTTCAAACCGTTCTGTGAAATTAATTTTATTCGTGTAAAACACCATTTGGAAAGAAAAAAACAAATGGAAACTGATCTAACAGGTTTGTACTATATGTTAAATGTATTAATTGAGCGTGTGCACTTTTGGTGCAATTTGAATTTTTCTTAGATAACCTCACTTTCCCCAACGCCGACGTGGTTGCTGTTTGGAATAGCGAGAAGGGCCGGCTTGAGCAAGAAAAGGCTATACAATGTTTGATGAACAAATTAATTATAATATGAGGATCATTTTGATATGTTTGTCCTGTCAGTTGCCCGTCAATTTGGACAAATTCGAATCATTTTGCCTACAAACTGGCGAATTGATAGTCGATATGCATCCGTGGCTACCGATGAGTTCTTAGTTTGATGGAATTTTTTCTTTTTGCTTTTGTTGGACTTATTATCATCCACTTTTATAGGCATAGAGCAACAAATTTCAGCTCCTTAAATTTCATTAATTTTTTTTTAGTTTTAAACGACGTTCCTATGGGAGCTATAGGATATTTTTTCCTGATCCGAACGATTTTCACAATATATGTGCCTAGGGACAAATATTGACGATTTCATGTCGATGTCTCCAAAACTGACCGAGTTATTAATTATTGCCACAAAAACAGGTCAAAAACCCCATAGCGCAGTGACTCAAGAACCTGGTTTTTTGACTGAACAAGAATACACTTCTTATTGTCGGAAATTTTTAAATTACACATATACATTTATAATTTTTACTCATGAGATTCAGATTATTTTTAGGCCTTGTAAATCGAAATAAATGTTAAAAACATATTTTAAACAGAGTGTAACTAAAACGAATGACATCTGTGCAAAATATAAAACAGTTTAAATATGAAAAACAATTTTTGAACTCACACAGCTCACTTGAGTTTTGTTTTTTTTTAAATCACTTGAGAGATTTGAGGACCTCTTTCGGATAGCACCCACATTGTTAATCCTCGATTGTTAACAATAATTAATTTGACTGATCTTTCAATCTTGGGATGCTTGGGATGATCCTAATATGTACAATAATAAACTGTACTCAATTATTGTAAGATAAGTAATTTTGCAACACAAAGTTAGTATTTTTTTATATTTTTGTCGGCCAGAACATTTTAACAACCAAATTAACTTTTCTCTAAGCTCAACGAAAAGTTATGGGTCCAAGCATTTTAACCAAGCATTTTTCCGTGTTTCAATGAAAATTATGTCAGAGCCACTTAGGGCGCGTAATAAACACTTTTCGAAATTTTCTTGTATGTTGTATCATCAAAATATAAAGAAAGGAAAGTACTTCAAAGTTAGCAAGAAAAAAAAGCTATTAAAATATTTTAAATTAATAGCACAATACGAATGGAAACTTAACTTGGATGCTATGTTGAAAATTTATGTCTGAGAATTAAAACAACTTATACTTTTTTCTAGATTATGTAAATCAAATAATTGTAACGGCCTAAGGTAACGTAATACTAAGGTTTTAATACTCACATTAAATGACCCAGTCATATTGAATCCAATTGAGGCGTTGATCACGTCCACCAAAATTTCGGACGGACAATCAAGAAGAACAAACTTCTCACGAGCGTTGCTTATGCGCTTCCAGAGAATTCTATAGTCACTTCCACGCTCGAATTCCTGCATCTTGATTCCTGTTTTATGGAGTTGTTTCCATGCTAGGATGTGCTGCAGGCGATTAAGGTCTTTTGGGAAGGGATAGGTTAGGATAAATTGGGAAAGGTTCGCGACAGGCCATCAATAATATTGAGACTCAAGTGACTTGGCCGAAAGAGCGAAGTAAATTATTTTTTAATCCTATTAGCTATGTTATTTTCTTTATAAATATTAAGTCTGTTTCATTTATTTAGTAATAACAGGTAAATTGTGTAGGCTTTTTGTACCCTTGCAAAAGGTATTATAATTTTGTTCAAAAGTGCAACGCATGTATATATATTCTTGATCAGGATCGCGTCCTGAGTTGATATAAGCATGTCCGTCTCTCAGTTTTAAAGATATTGAATTGAAACTTTGCACACATCTTTCTTTCTTTTGCACGCAGTATATAAAGCGGAACGGTCGGGATCGGCCGACTATATCATATAGCCGCCATATAACTAATTGATCGAAAATGTCAAAACTTTGGTGTTTGTTTAGTTAGGAAGTTGGGATTTTCTATGACTTTTATGTTTGGCCAATCCATCCGACCTACCAAATTTCATAAGGATCGGCCGACTATATCCTATAGCTGATATATAACTGAACGATCGGAAATGCCAGAACTTTAGTGTTTTTAAAGTTAGGAAGGATTTTTATGAGTATTAAGAATGTATAATATGAATAATATTGGAGAATATAATTTACAGAATATTCTGCAAGGGTATTTCAACTTCGGCTCCGCCCGAAATTAGCTTTCCTTTTTTTATACCCTTGCAGAGGGTATTATAATTTTGGTCAAAAGTGTGCAACGCAGTGAAGGAGGCATCTCCGACCCTATAAAGTATATATATTCTTGATCAGGATCACCTCCTGAGTTGATATAGCCATGTCCGTCTGTCCGTCTGTCCGTCTGTCCGTCTGTCTGTCCGTCTGTCCGTCTGTCCGTCTGTCTGTTTCTACGCAAACTAGTCTCTCAGTTTTAAAGCTATCGAATTGAAACTTTGCACACACCCTTCTTTCCTTTGCACGCAGTATATAAGTCGGAACGGCCGGGATCGGCCGACTATATCCTATAGCTGCCATATAACTGATTGATCGGAAATGCCATAACTCTGCTGTTTGTTAAGTTAGGAAGTTGGGACTCTCTGTGGGTATTATATTTGGCCAATCAATCCGACGTACCAAATTTCATAAGGATCGGCCGACTATATCCTATAGCTGCCATATAACTGATTGATCGGAAATGCCATAACTTTGGTGTTTGTAAAGTTAGGAAGTTGGGACTCTCTATGGGTATTATATTTGGCCAATCAATCCGACGTACCAAATTTCATAAGGATCGGCCGACTATATCCTATAGCTGCCATATAACTGATTGATCGGAAATGCCATAACTTTGGTGTTTGTAAAGTTAGAAAGTTGGGATGTTCTATGGGTTTTATATTTGGCCAATCAATCCGACCTACCAAATTTCATAAGGATCGGCCGACTATATCCTATAGCTGCCATATAACTGAACGATTCGAAATGCCATAACTTTGGTGTTTTTAAAGTTAGGAAGTTTGGATTTTTTATGAGTATTAAGAATGCATCATAGGAATAATTTTGGAGAATATTATTATAGAGAATTCTGCAAGGGTATATCAACTTCGGCTCCGCCCGAAGTTAGCTTTCCTTTCTTGTTTAAAGTTATTTTTGCTTCAATCAAAAAAACTTTTACTGTAAATTATTAAACCGTGTATTTTGTTGTGACATTTTGCTCTGTATTGGAGGTCTACACTGAAAAGTTAAGACTTGACCCGTTGACTTCCGTTAGCTTCTACATTTTTCCACACTAGCATCCTGGAGCATTGAGTGGCTAGATCGACCCTTCTGGTGATAATGATCAAGAATATATGTACATATATTCTTTAAGGGTCGAAATTGTCTCCTTCAGTGCGTTGCAAACTTTGGATTGAAATTATAATACCCTCTGCAAGGGTATAAAAATAATCCAGAGGATTTAAATATACCCGGATTAACGTGGTCGTGGATAAATCGAATATCTTACTATTTATAGCCCAGCATAATTTTATTAACGACTTGCCGGACATATATTTATCTCAAGTAAACCATTTACGAAATGCACTTGGTAGCTTACTTGACATTAAATACTGAAGGTGTAATTCTGCCCTGCACCTACGCAACCTGAATATCCATATCCTTCTACTATCTTATTTTTATAAGAGAAAAATCACAGAAGTCAACCAAACGATACCAAACGACACCACGCTTAAATCTTATTCTTATAATTCCACTTTCACCACGAAAACTTGACGGAAATCACAGATCAGGAAATAAATAATTTATTTACATGATTATTATTCTACGTCATCTTTATAGTCTAATTCCTATTCGAACCTAATATGCTTATGCTAAATTTTTACTGATGATACAGTGACCAAATATTTCTACTAAAACAAGAAAGGAAAACAATTTCGGCAATCCAGTAGTCAGATTTCTTATTAATGTTTCTACAAATTTCATCAGTCAGTTTGTTTAAAGTGAGGTTACAGTTCTCTTCTAGCTAGTGGAAGTGCGTGAAGATTCTAAGAAGTATTTATTTGTCTGACTTTTGGGGGTTCGTGCATGGAAAGCTAGAACGAGTTGGGAATTTTAAATACTGTAGTGGGAGAAAAATTAGCTAATTAAAATTTCCATAATTATTTTATACTTAGAGCAATCAAAGCAACAACTTTATATAATAACATAGGTGGACAAGATGCTCCGTATAAATAATTTTAATATTTAATATAACCATCAATAAAGTACAAAATGTGTCAATAAAATAACCAGTATAATAAGATTAAATTGAAATCAAAGTTGCTGTTAAAGCTGGTTGTTTAATTTTTAACTAAGTTTTCCTTAAAAAAATTTCCGAATTTTCCAATTCAGTCTTGATGATAAAAAAACGTACTTAAATCGAATTAAAGTCGAGTATTTTTTTAGAGTGTACATACGTATACAAGAAGTGGTAAGAATGTTGTATATTTAGATATAAAAAACTTTTGAAAAATAAACCTGTGATTTTAATTACACAAGTATAGAAAAGAATATAAACAAATGAATTAATATAAAATTATTCGAAAAATTGTACAATTTTCATATGATGCATCTTGTTCTTGTAAAAATGTAACCCATTCATTTTTGTTGGCTTTAATAATAAGCTTCGAAATCTGCTACCAATTTGGCAAAAATAAATATTATAAGCTTGGGTATGACCAAGATGAATCAAACCAAAATTGTGGTTATTAAAAATATGTGTTTAATTTCTGTACATACGAGTATTTTTCTCGTAGGCGATGGTAAAGGACTTCCAGTCGAAGCTTTTGCTACCCAAAATATCGGAAAAAGCCTTAGACAGCATTAGTTCCATTGGAGCGACATTCACAGTGAGTTGGTGGTTGAGACGCTCCCTGAACGACTGTTGGGGCTGCCAATCGAACTGCAGATGCGGTATACCCGTCGTATTACACAGAACTTCGACTATATCTTTAGGTAAACGAGAGAATGAAATAAAATGGGAAGTGAGCCAAAAATGTGTATATCCTAGACTTGTATATTTTTGTTTAGAATGATCCGGGGAACTACCAAATCACACAACGAAAGTGGCGATAAAAACACAAAGAGCACAACAGAGGCAAATGTGATGGGGATTTCTTTTTGGCAGCAGTTCAAATTGTCCCCAACCACCGTACCCTTTATTTACTGAACAAATATTTAGATCCAATTTTACGGCCAACATATGTGTGTTTGGATATTTTGAAGAATCATTAACGAGGTTGACGAGCCTTTAGAAATTCTCTTTGGAATCGCAGACAGAATCTGCCGAACTCTGCATCTTCCTCGCTCTCTGCTTTTCTTTTATAAATTTGTATACGCATGTATATGCAGCTACAAATTTTTTTTATGACGCTGAAGCATATGATTTGGTTTAAAAATAATTTAATTAGTATACAAAGGAAAAAGAAACTTACCGCTGTTCGTCTTTGAACTTGGTCCGAAAATAGCGGCCACCCCATTTCCAATCAAGTCACAAGCTAACGGAGTGTTATTAAAAGTGATCTTGTGCATTAATCCCATGCCATGTTGACTTACACAGATCTTGCAGCACAATGCTGTCGTCAATACTCAGATAGTGCTTGATGGGTTCCAATCTCAAGGCAGGATTAATGGCATTCACTTCCTCCACTGCCACACTGAAGGCTTCGGCCAACTTCATTTCCGTGTCGAAAAATATAGCTCCTAAACGAAATCGTAGTCCGCTTATTTCGGAAATGACAACCAAACACTTATTTTCATTAACCAACCAATTTTTATCACTAGAGAATCTTCATTGGCGCCACTGCACGAAATCAATGCCAAAAGAACTAAAAACTGTACAGCTGACATGCTGTGGCCTAAGCTGTGGATAACTTAGATTTACACAGTCTTGATTCTCTACTCGTCAGAAACACTTAAAGACTCTTCAAATTAAAAACGAATATACAAATTTTTAATCGCGCAACCCGACAAAAGAACTCGGCCAGATCCAGACCGACGCACTGCTCGAAGAGCACTGAAAAATCCACACAAAAAAGTTTATTTTGAACCTCTGCAGTGGCGAGATCAACCACGTCATCGAGAACAACAAACTTTTTGGGTGGAAGGAGCACTACGGATTCCACTCACCCCATGAAGAGCCACCAGCACATGTCTAGACTCTAGACCATGCAGACACGAGCACGAGCAGTGGCTGGAAATGGACCAATAAATGAAAGCTAAATGTGCTCTAAAATTAGACTAGCCGGACGCCCCCGTAACTAGCTAAACAGAGTATGTCAATACAAAAGAAAAGTGTGAGGAAAACGACAAAAAAACTTAAAGAGCTGAACATTTTATCCGCAGATGATCGAGTAAGGGATACACATCAATTTGTTTTTTTCGAAAGTCTCAAAATAATAACTTTTTTAAATTGCAATAAAAGGAATACATAATATTTATAAGTCACATAGATCGGCCCGAAAAATGTTTAAAGATATGTATTTATTATCAACCGTTAATCCGTTAAAAAATTATAACTATTACATAAATTTTGTTTAACGATAAAAAAAAAAAAACGAAATGGACGAATTTTTCATAATTTGATACATGGTCTATCCAACGAAATTCTCCAGGACGTCTGATATACCCAATTGCGCCATCTTTTGTTCTAAGATTTATAAATATAGCTCCATGTATATGTGTATGCACATATCAAACGGACCATTTCTTTGAAATGACAAAGTGAAATCTAGCAAACAACTTTAAAACACTAACAATATGTTCAGAGCTCCTAACTGACCGTCTTGCTGCGAGTCTTCTCCTTGGAGCTCCTCCTGGAACTGGACGACCGCCTGGAAGAGGATTTGTCGCTGCTGCTCGAGATCCTCATCGGCTTCTTTCGGACCCAGAACTTGAGGGCAAAGGCCAGCTCCGCCTTGAGAGCCTGCCACGGGGTGACCCGTTCCTCCACCGCCACGTGCTGCACGTTCCACAGAAACTCGAAGATGCCCAGAATCACGCCGGTAAGGACGCCACCGGCCAGGACAAGGAAGACGCCGCCCAGTTCGACGATGGACAGCTCGTCGCCATCCACTTCGTGGATGGATTCGCAGGTGACGTTGTGATTCTTCCACCACTTGTTCTTCATCTTGTACAGCTCGCCCTTTTCGCTCAGCTGGAGGATGGACACGCTGAGGTTGGTCCGGTAGTCGGCACCTGATCGAGAAGGAAGGCTCTGCAATCGATGTTTCGTATTGCCACATGAGGCACTCACCCAGGGGCACGGCCAGGCCGTAGTGCTTCTCCCCGATCTGTTCGCCTATCTGGATCAGGTCGCAGTTCCGCTCGATGTTGTACGTCAGACTGGTGGTCTCCATCAGGAAGGCGTAGTCGCCCTGCTCCTTGCGCACCCGCGCCACCCCCTCCTTGTTCGTGCTGGTGAAGGCGGACGGGTTGAAGTCCTTCATCTGGTTCCAGGCCCGCTGGTAGTCGGTGTCGTTCGACTCGGAGAAGAACAGCGAGGTGCTGCCGCCCCGCATGCTGCCGAACTGCACCTCGTCCTGCTCGATCAGGTCCTGCAGGCTCTTAATGCTGCTCTGCCACTTGTTGCTGGTCAAGAAGGCCGCCAAGTTGGCCGTGTACGTACTAAGCATCATCAGGGCGAAGAACCACCACATTCCAGTCAGAATACGCATGTGGGGACCTCTGTGAAATCGATAAAGATAAAACGATGCCAATCAGAACGATGATAATTTAAAAAAAATGGATTAGGTTTGTCAAATATCACCATCTCATTGGAACTGATCATCATTTTATAACACTACATATGTAAGTAGTTCAAAAATCAAATTAAAATATCGCATAAATATAATAAAAACAAAATAGTTTTTATCGCAATTAAAAATAGAGAAAGGAAAAGAAAATTTGAATACCATTGTATTATATGTTAATATATATTATACCATTGTATTATATGTTAATATATATTAAAGTGAAAAAAATACTCGTGAACAAGACAGAACTAATTAAAAGTCGAGTTCTGTTGAGAACTTAGTTGGGTGCGTGTACCTATATGACTTCTATGTGATTGTATAATACAATTTGTATTTATAAAAATCGAAAAATTTAACTTATTTAACAGCCTATGTCCTTCTATTAATTACGATCAATTTTAAACTCATTTCACGAACAATCTCTGACCTAGGTAGTATATCACATCCCTGTTGCATTATAGAGCCCACCATCAGCCATGTCGAGTTGTTGACATTCCAAATATTCTCCAGTTCATCTGGATCCTGAATAGCAGGATTTGGTGGCAGCCATTCGCGATAGGAAAGCCTAGAAAGAGCCAAATAAAATCCCCTTCGGCACAAGTTAAATTGGGCAAATACCCACCTGGCGATGAAAACGAAAGCCAGAGTCATTATCAACTGGGCAAAGATCATGTAAATCCAGACCTCAACGGCGAAGGGTTTCAGGAAGGCAAACTGATTCTCTGGCTCCGGAGGTTTCTTGTAGTGCAGAATGCTAATGCCCAATTGCATAAAGGGCACCGTGAAGTCCACCACAGAACGTCGCATTTGGGTTATGGTCAGATCGCAAACGCCTATTTGGGCATGCTAAGTAATGGGAAAACGAAGTATTAATGAATTAGAGAAACTCTTTAGATGTGACCTACGTGGTCTATCAGCTTGCGTATAATGCCATCCCATTGTTTGGTCTCCGGGTTATATTTCCCATTGCCGTTCACGATCATGAACTCATAATCAAAGTTCATCAGTTCGGAGAGCTTTCTTATGAGATCCACGGCATACCCCTCGTACTTCTCCCTGCCTCTGAAGTTCTCGTGATCCTCTCTAGCGGAAATACAAAATTCTATAGTCTGCGGTAAATCTGGGGATTGCGGCAAACCAACTTCATCATAAAGTAGGGCTCCTCGAAGTGCGTTACCACATTGTAGAGCTTCCGCTGCTCCGAGAAATCCTGAGCAGTGCCGCCACTATCCAGTTCCAGGTTGAGGCGACGCGTCTTGATTCCATTATCTGGCGTCCAGACCATCATGGGCTCGTTCACGGTCGGCTTGTAGATCTCGAGATTGAAGTGGGTGCGCTGGCCGTTCTCGTTCAGCTTCATGTTCTCGGTCTTGAAGCGCGGCTCCACATCGTCCTCGGAAATGGTTTTCATTTCGTTAACTATAAATGCTCCCAGCATCCAGGGAGAAGGGCTGCCGCACTGCCGATTGGGTGGATGAAAGGGCTGCATGGCAGCCATAACATTTCGGGCAGAGCTGGCAAAAAGGACCACGGCATCAAAGATAAGAATTGGCAACATAGTCTGGTTTCCCAATATTTGCTGAGGAGTAAAAACTAAGTTAAAACCAAGTCTGCCACCACTCCAAATCCTTTCCACTCACATCCACCTTGGTGATACGGGTCTTCTTTCTTTCAAAGGGATTTGGATCTACCACTTTCATTCGCACTGAGGTAATGTTGGCCTTAAAGTCTTCATTGTAAATATCCCTCAACCCCGAGCTATGCGTGTCCAAGTGGGTGAGAAACCAGTTCTGGGAATACATTTTTGCTTATTTGGTGTTCTCGGGACTTCCTAACAAGCAACATACCCTGAATGGTCCCTGCAGCTTGAAGTCCATGGAAATCTTCAATAGCTCCTTTAAAGTTTTCGGCTCACAGTCCAAAATGATGCGCTGTTCATGGAAGGTCTCGTCTGCTTCCTTCCACAGTACTCGATAGTCATCTGCGTAGTCCGCCAAATGACGAAGCTTAACGTAGTCACTGTTAAGAGCTTGAATGTTCATCAGATCCTGTAGGCGTGCCAGGCCTAAGATGGGAATTGAATAGGGTTTAATGAACTTACCCCGCAAATAAGAAACACCTTTGCTGGGCACAAGGTATATTACTTGCTATCCTAAATGAAACCCAATAGATTGGGACATCACTTACCCTCAGGTGTCTCATAGATCAGCGTGAAGGTGCGCCACTCGTAGTTGGTTTTGATGATCTCGAAGTAGGCGCGTGACAATACGGACAGGGAGGGTGCCACATTGACGGACATCTGATGGTTCAGGTGCTCCTGGCGCGTGGCCTCCAACTTCAAATCGTACTCTATGTGTGGAATGCCGGTCGTGTTTGCGATTTGCGCAACGATATCTGCGATAGAAAGGGGGAACCGTCACATCGCGAACATATGTCTCTAGCCTTACACTCAGCGTACCACTGCCTGCCTTTGAACTTGGTCCGAAAATAGCCGCAACGCCATTGGAAATCAGTTCACACGCTACACACGGAAGATGAATTTCTCATAACTTTGCTCTACAAAATCTGTGGTTATTTACTTACTAATTTGCTGCAGAAGAAAACTGTCGTTGGTGGGCATAAATCGCTTGATGGTAATGAATCGCAGCTCGGCGAACTTTAAGTTGTTGACCTCGCGAAACGCCTGATCGAAGCTGAGTTCGATCTCCTTTTCATTTTCATAGAAAATGGCACCTAAATGTACGGCAAACTGTTGAGCAAAGAGCTATTACTGATTGCCGAGGACCTACCCACGGTGATTTCATTGCGACCGTCGCCGCCGAGGGCGAGACTCGCTTTGAAGAAGGCGGCGATGAGTGCATAAATGTGGACTGGACGCAAATGCATTTTTCCTTCTACTTTCCTCCAAATGATTGGTTACCTCAAGACACTAATTGAATGTTCTAAATGCAGCAGCCATTTCGTATTCACTTCTTAGCTGCATATAAACAAGTATATATCCACGGGCGCACACAGACTGGCACAGAAAAGACTAAGTGAAGCACATAGTATGGGGTGTTCTCAAGAATTTATTTTCACGCAACGGAAGCACCCAGTCTTGGAGCGCTTCGCACGCCTACTGACTGCCGGACCGAATGGCACGGCCCAGAATGTGATCTCGGCCGGAGGAACTCTCTCCAGTCGTCGGAAGAGAACCCGTCCCACTGCGCGTATACGCAACGTGCTCTCCGCGGATTCTTCGTGGCGCCTGTTGTCCGTGACGTCGGCGGCATCTGAAAGTCTGGCCGGCCATTCGCCACTTCTTGCGCCCAATTGTTTTCCCTCTTCGCAATCGCATGCCAAATATTTTGACGATCGTGAAATGGCTTTGATTTGCCAAATGTGTTTGAAGTTTTTTTGTGTACCATATTTAGCGGACCTGCAGTTTACTTGGGCTGCATTCGAACACACAAAATCAGCAATGACAGATGTAGAATTTGGAAGAAGTCTTTCATATTTCACAAGTAATATGTCATGGCGGCCATTAAAAATCCCATCAATTTTATTGAATTTGTATGTCATTCACATCTTCCGCCGTATACGATGATCGTATATAACGGTCGACCCGTGTTTCGGCGACTCGATAAATTTGCATAGAGGATGCTCTTCGGTTATATATTTTTCAACGGGGAGCAGAGTTCCATCGCCCTTGTACAAGAAGCATAGGCCCTTGACAGCATCCGGAATAATCTTGTAGTTATCGGATTCGTTGTAGAAGACCTTGCCATTGTTCCAAGTGATGAAGCTCAGGTCCTGACGATTTGGTTCTAGGCGACGGCGGCCTGCGAAAATATCTGCCCAAGGGTGCGACTTGACCCCAGCGACCTTGAAGCTACGTAAACTCTGCTCCAAGTCAATGTAGCCGGAAACACTAAAACCCTTTGAGTCACGAGTGCTCACAAAGATGATAGTCTGAAAGTAAAGGTAGAATATTGGCTTCTCACAGAAAAATAGTGGAATAAATTATGAGTTGTACCTGACCTTTTATTTACCGTTTACTACTTTTAGTGTAGCGTAAAAAAAGCTTAAAAGTCTTTACATAACTTAATGTTATTCACCTTTGTAGACAATGTTATATTTAAGAAACTGCTTAAAAATGTATTTTTTTAAAATGCAACATATTTTTTTACTTATATATTTTTAAGTGAAAACGTCATTCAATTTAAGCAAAAGAATTTTAAGTTATGCATTTTTTCATTGAGTGGTGCTAAAAACTTTAAAGCGTCATAAAAATTAAACGGCGCCAAATTTAAAGAAAATACATATTTAAGTAGAGGAGCCAAAAACAACGACCAGTATATTTTACGTTTCAAGTGGAATGGCCATTATACTAATTTAGGCTAAATAGTTATTATCAACGCATTACGCAAAATGCAAAATAGCTTACGAACATCTAAAAAGGAATTCATTTGCTAGCAAAATAAGCAAAAATATTAAAAGCAACGAAGTTTGGAAAATGTCAACCAATCGTTTTTTGTGAGCCAGAAGACATACCCAGATATTTAACTACGCATTAGTGGCTTCCTATTTCGTTAATATAAAAAAATATAACGTTATAGCTAAAAGTTTGTTTTTGTAGACAAGGGCATGGTCATGGAATTGCTTTACTTAGACTGTAACTAAAACCAAATTGATTTCAGATCAAACAAAAACACCTCTTGTCGAGGTTAAAAAAGTCGTAACGACTGCATCTTAAACATACAAAACTTTACATTTTTTTGTGTAGCATAGTGTTATTTATGAATAGGCAGTTTTAACAGAACAATTTCCTACCGACAGCGATTTGGCTGCATTCCGCTTCTCGCGCTCAGCAAGAGCCAAGGTCAAGGGGTCGTGGGCGACATTTCTGTCGCTGAAATAGAAGAACGTTCCCAGGGGCGGAAAGTGCACGTCCTTGAACTGGGAAGGTGTCATCACAAACGTGCCCACTGTGGCTCTCAAGGGAACCAGGCGGTGCATGACACTATCGTTGGGAAGATACCGCCTGTCCTCCACCTTGATGAACGAATTGAGGTAGTTATCGTAGGCGGTCTCTTGCTTGCTTTCCTCGGCATCGATCAGCTGCTTTCCAGCTCCAACTTTTTTTATGTCTGGGATTTTCCTATGAAAGTCGCCAAAATGCTGCTCCTTTTCCTTCATGACAGAAGATTTTGCTGCTTCTCTAAGCAAATTCGAAGGTTTTTTTATGGACGTTTCTGGATCGACAACCATTTTCAAGTGTAATGTGCTAGGCAGAAACGTGTAATGACAGGCAAACAAAATGTAAATAAAACTCAAAAATAGCTCTGATCAGGAACTCTCGCCCACAAAACTCACACTTTAGAATTAAGGGGCTTTTCTTAACCCACACAAAGAGTAAGCTACCGCTCTTAACTGAAGTCCCTCCACACCAACAATCTCATTGCAATGGGTACACAAGGCAAGAACGTGGACTTCAGCGTTTTGGAGTTCGACAACTACAACGACTACATCACCTCCTTTGCCACCGTTAAGGACTACCGATATCTGAGCAATCAGAACACGATCAAGACCATCGTCCAGCTGGGCTACCGCACCACCAAGATCCCCTATACTTCCGATGAATATGTGAAGAGGGTCGACATTGCCTTGGAGGCCATTAGGCCGAAGACAGCCCACGTAGGGCTGTTCAGCGATCTTATGGCGCCGACAAACGAGGACCCAGTGCTTCTGGAGTTTAAGTCTCGCGAGTTGCTCAACTTGAACAAGATTCTCTCGGTAAGGCAATCGCGAAAAATCCTCTTTTCGTTAAAGACTGTATCCACAAATCCTCACTTCACTTCAAATCTTTCACTTATTATACCCTTGCAGAGGGTATTATAATTTCAGTCAAAAGTTTGCAACGCAGTGAAGGAGACATTTCCGACCCTATAAAGTATATATATTATTGATCAGCATCACCAGGAGAGTCGATCTAGCCATGTCTGTCAGTCCGTCCGTCTGCCCGTCCGTCTGTCCGTCCGTCTGTCCGTCCGTCCGTCCGTTTCTACGCAAACTAGTCCCTCAGTCTTAAAGCTATCTGCTTGAAACTTTCCCAAAAGTTGTATTTCTATTGCAGGTAGTATATAAGTCGGAACGAGCCGGATCGGGGGACTATATCATATAGCTGCCATTAACTGAACGATTGGAAATGCCATAACTTTGGTGTTTTTAAAGTTAGGAAGTATTAAGAATACATCATATGAATAATTTTGAAGAATAAAATTAACAGAATATTCTGCAAGGGTATATCAACTTCGGCTCCGTCCGAAGTAAGCTTTCCTTTCTTGTCTTTAAAAGTAACTGCGGAAATTGCGTAGTATTGAGACCCCTACCCCAAAAGATCGCGAAAAAAGTATCCTCCTGAACCGCGATTTTACGTTTACGTTAAGAGTTTGCTATAAACAATTAATTAGGCTTTTCTACCACTTATGAATATATATATATAAAATTAAAAATATATATGATTGTCAAAAAAACACAAAATGTAAAATTCCAGAACATTGGGTTATTGGCGGAACCATGGGCAGTGCACTGCCGCAAAACAAAATATCCTGGATGGATAATAATTTCTTAAGAATTGAAGTAGCTAACACCTATGTAAAATACTACTACTACTGCCTAACATATAAAAAAATCGATTTCCGAACAAAGCACTTATCTTGCAGGGTTGGCCAGGTAATCGACCGTACATTTTTGAAATCTATTAGTGTCTTTTTGACCTTGCTATGAATTTTTAAATTAACGAACAGTCAAAACTGAACGACTTAGTGGAATCGGGTATTTTTCCCCCACGTTTTTAGATATGTATATTTTTCTCCTTGCAGCGGATACATTTGTGATACGATCTCGCCGAAATTATTCATCATTTCATTACTCATAGCTATATGGAATTTATGTCGGCATTATGATTTTACCCCAATAACGTCACAAAGCTGGGATGAAAAAATTAATTTTTTTTTTTGGAGGCTCTCAAATTTGATGGAGCTGTTTTAAAAGCTTAACTTTAGGTTCAAACGATAAATTATCAACCAACTCTAAAAATCTCATTTACACCCGCAAATTTGTATGGTATATAATCTTATGCAACGCATTAATTACCAAAAATAATCCTAAAAACAGAACTCGCCATATTTTTGTCTTCAATGGCATCAAATCATAAATTGTAGGGCAAATTTTTCAAAAATTTAGAGCGTTTCCTTTATAAAATCTAAAGCAAAAGCCCTAAAATAAGAAAAACTTTTTAAAAAAATAAAATTTTTTTTTAAAGTAGGGCATTTTACCATAAATTAGAAACATGTATAAAACCAGTTTCTACATACATGATGTAATTTCTCATTCGGATTTATGGACTTATGTATATTTATGTAAGTGTTATTTTATGTATATGATCTAAGCTGTTCATTCAGAAAAGTCACAAAGTGTGTATTATTAGTATTGCACTAATGAATTGCCAATATCGATTTCAACTGGAATCCTGGGGGGTAGAGAAAATCATAATTAATTTATACAAGTAAACTTTTGTTAGTCCGTCGGTGGGACTCGAACCCAGGGCTCCCGCGCGTGAGTTCGAAGACATCGAATTGAACCGGGGTCGCGCGTGAAGAACACACGGCAACAAAATATCAAATGTAAATATCAAACAAATAAATATACCTGAAACAGAAAATTATGGCTTAATCAACAAAATATCTCTAACTTAAAAAAAAAATTTCATCACGAGTGAGTAAATATTCCTCACTGGGGATGAATCGACAGGTATTGTTGTCCAATTCACAAACACCATCCGACCTTTAAAGAAATCGGAAATATGTTGGAATTAAAAAAACAACATTTTATGATCAGCACATTTTCATGTGGTGTAAGAGAGAGGTGCAAAAAGACAATTCAGAAACGGACAGACGAAGCTAAAATTCATGCGAAACAAAATAGTGCTTTTAAGATTGGATTTTAGACATTACACGGTAGTACACGGCTTTCACTCAAACAATTAAATTTGACGTGGTCATGTTATATGAATAAAAAACAAAAAAATATACCACTACCGGGTGAAATTAAGGTTTATTTTCTCACATTTTATTTTGCATGTCTTATACCCAGCTATAATCGCATTTTCCGTGATGGGCAACTTTGGCACCCAAGCATTTTGCAACGCATGCGTTTGAATATATTTTTCTGTTTACTCCGCAAACAGGATCATAATCCCGGGAACAGACACATGCGGCTTCTGTGAGTTCCAACAGAGCGAACAGGCAGACAACGATCAACGCAAGGAAACGCATGGCCATCAGTATAATAATATGGCATATAGGGCATGGTATATATACTAGTAACAGGAAATCGTTTAAACTTAAAGTGTAAAATCAAAATTTAACACTGGTTAAAATCACACAATTAAATTTGTTTTTATAACAAAAGTTTTTATACCCTTGCAGAGGGTATTATAATTTTGGTCAGAAGTTTGTAACGCAGTGAAGAAGACGTTTCCGACCCCATAAAGTATATATATTCTTGATCAGGATCAATAGGGGAGTCGATATAGCTATGTCCGTCTGTTTCAATACCGTTTGCGACCACAGTTTTAAAGCTAGCGATCTGAAACGCAGATCACGTTTGAAAACTGATCGGACGTCTATATCCTATAGCTCCTATAGGAACAATCGGATATACCTTGCATGAATTGATGATATTTCGTATTTTTTATGCATACCTTGATCAGGGTAAAAGCGCGTCCCGATCGGACGTCTATATCCTATAGCTCCCATAGGAACAATAGGGTGAAATCGGGAAATGAGAGTTTTCCAAACATAAGGTAAACCATTTGTGCAAAGGTCTACACCGCGCAGTACCTAAGTACGCAAAACAAATTTAATTTGACTTGTTCATGGTATATGAATAAGACAGATTTCTAATTGTTTGTGGCAGTAACAGATACGTATTTAATGTCACATATAAATAAATCATATATAAAATGAATGGAAATATCACTTGAATAGGCAGACTTGTCATTGGGGAGTAGTAGTATTTTGCATATGCTATGACCACATACATTTTCGTATTCCGGTTAGGTGCAATTTCCGTAATGGGCAATACTGACACCATCGCATTTTGAGTAGGTTTTTTGTTTATTCCGCAGACAGGGTCTCTTTTGTGAATTCCAACATAGCGAATAGGCAGAGGAGCGATCAACGCAAGGAAACGCATTGCCATTCTCTATATATCAATATGGCATATAATGCATGGTATATATACTAGTACCAGGAAATCGTTTAAACTTAAAGTGTGAAATCATAATTTTAACACTGGTTAAAATCACATAATTAAATTTGTTTATATTTAAAACATCATAGCAAATGTGAAAGAGCGACAAAAAAATCTTTTTTTAATGAAGAGGCTGAGAACAGGAATTAGAACACCACCTCTTAAATATTTATACCCGTTTCTCGTAGAGTAAAAGGGTATATTGTATTCGTGCAATTTTTTTTTTTTTTTTTTGATCGCTAAGGTATGGAAATCTTCGAAAGATACTAGGTCCGCCATCACCTTGTGTGGTCGGGTAATGTCTAGCATGCACGATTCACTGCTTTATTAGAACCTTCTTCACGTTGAGGGTTCTGCAATGCCTACGTACTAAAACCATCCTTATATTATATGATTACTACTTAAGCGATGTTTATGCCTTCTTTTTATGCCGAGGCAGCAGGCGTTATTTGTAACAGCTAGAAGGAAGCGTTTCCGACCCTATAAAGTATATATATTCTTGATCAGGGTCACTAGCCGAGTCGATATAGCCATGTCCGTCTGTCCGTCTGTCTGTCTGTCCGTCTGTCTGTCCGTCCGTATGAACGCTGAGATCTCGGAAACTATAAAAGCTAGAAGATTGGCATTTTGCATGCAGATTCTAGGAGTTCCTACGCAGCGCAAGTTTGTTTCAAAAAGGTGCCACGCCCCCTTTAACGCCCACAATCGCTTATATACGATTTTAAAAATTTAAATATTTCACAAAAGTAAAAATGCAGTTTTATTGTGTTTATCAATACCTATCGAAATGTAGAAGATTTTCAAAATTTCAAATTCAAAATTTTAAATTTTTCAAATCGGACCATTCATTAAAAAGTTATGCGTGATCAAAGTTTCTATCTCCATCTCCCTCGCACTCCCTTTACCTGAGTAACGGGTATCTGATAGTCGGGGCACCCGACTATAGCGTTCTCTCTTGTTTTAAATGAAATAATTTAATGTTCCGATTTTTTTTCCTATCCTGATTTGTCAACTTCAAAATGTAGAAACGAAAAATCGGTGCTTAGCATTTTCAACAAATTTGTACAATAGTCACTAACATAAGCATTGATTGCTATAAAGCCCTGCAGTTTTAGAAGTCATTCATATTTTGACCTCTGCCACCACAATGTCTTAAAATGTTTTAGCAATAAGAATTTAACTTTAGCTTACTATAGTTCATGAAAAGTTTTTCTTTTTTTTTTGTTAGGGACTTACAAGTTAAAAATAAATTTCTGAAAACTACATTTCAAATTTGTTAAAGATGTCCATATCCATATTCTTGACTTCAGTTATTAGATCCGATTTTTATACCCTTGCAGAGGGTATTATAATTTTGGTCAGAAGTTTGTAACGCAGTGAAGGAGACGTTTCCGACCCCATAAAGTATATATATTCTTGATCAGGATCAATAGGGGAGTCGATATAGCCATGTCCGTCTGTCCGTCTGTCCGTCTGTCCGTCTGTCCGTCTGTCCGTCTGTCCGTCTGTTTCAATACCGTTTGTGAGCTCAGTTTAAAAGCTAGCGATCTGAAACTTTCACACGCGTCCTAAAACATGTGTACGCAGATCAAGTTTGAAAATCGCCCCGATCGGACGTCTATATCCTATAGCTCCCATAGGAACAATCGGATATATCTAGCAAAAATTGATGATATTTCGCGCAGTGTAAAAGCTATTGACATGAATTTTTCCAAATCGTATTTTTTTATGCATACCTTGATCAGGGTAAAAGCGCGTGTCAATCGGACGTCTATATCCTATAGCTCCCATAGGAAAAATAGGGTAAAATCGGTCCAAATTTTATGTTTTTCAGAATATTTCGCGCTGTGTAAAAGCTATTGCTATAAATTTTTTCAAATCGTATTTTTTTATACATTCCTTCATCAAGGTGAAAGCGCGTGCTGATCGGACGTCTATATCCTATAGCTCCCATAGGAACAATCGGATATAACTTTCAAGAATGGAAGATATTTTGTGCAGTGTAAAAGCTATTAACATAAATCTTTCCAAATCTTATTTTTTTATGCATACCTTGATCAGGGTAAAAGCGCTTGGCGATCGGACGTCTATATCCTATAGCTCCCATAGGAACAATAGGGTGAAATCGGTTAAAATTTAATGATTTTTAGGATATTTCGCACAGTATATAAGCAATTGACATGAATCTTTCCAAATCGTATTTTTTTATGCATACCTTGATTATGATAAAAGCACGTGACGATCGGACGTCTATATCCTACAGCTCCCATAGGAACAACAGGGTGAAATCGGTCCAAATTTGATGATTTTCTGAATTTTTCGCGTAGTGTGTAAGCTACTGACATAAATTTTTCCAAGTCTTATTTATTTACGCATATCTTGATTAGGGTAAAAGCGCTTGCCGATCGGACGTCTATTTCTTATAGCTTCCGTAGGAAAAATAGTTAAAGGCTGCGAAAGTATCCCTTTTTTTCTATTTTTATATGACATTTTTGCAGTATAAAAGCAATTGACATTAAACGATGAAAATCTAGTTTATTTATGTATACCTTATTCCTTTGGCTACTTTTTCAGTTTTAGCAATTTCGGCAAAGTCTGCAAGGGTATTAAAACTTCGGCTTGCCGAAGTTAGCTTCCGTCCTCGTTTTTAATAAGGTCAGAAAACCTTGATCTCACTACTGGTCTCATAGATCCAATAAGAAATACTCTAACGAAACATTTCCAGTTTTTCTGCATGAAAATAAAGTGAACTTAAAATTCAATTCAATTCAATAGCTGTTTAAAAAGATTTAATTCTGAAAATATTTAAAATTGCGCCCACTGCGCTGCGTGACATAACTAGAGTCTGCATAACGAATCCACGCTTCCTTCTACCTGTTGCACACGTTCCAACGAATCACTCTTTGACTAACGGGTAATTATACCCGTTACTCGTAGAGTAAAAGGGTATATTGTATTCGTGCAAAAGTATGTAACAGCTAGAAGGAAGCGTTTCCGACCCTATAAAGTATATATATTCTTGTTCAGGATCACTAGCCGAGTCGATCTAGCCATGTCCGTCTGTCCGTCTGTCTGTCCGTCTGTCCGTCTGTCCGTCTGTCCGTCTGTCTGTCCGTCTGTCTGTCCGTATGAACGCTGAGATCTCGGAAACTATAAAAGCTAGAAGATTGGCATTTTGCATGCAGATTCTAGGAGTTCCTACGCAGCGCAAGTTTGTTTCAAAATGGTGCCACGCCCCCTTTAACGCCCACAATCGCTTATATACGATTTTAAAAATTTAAATATTTCGGAAAAGTAAAAATGCAGTTTTATTGTGTTTATCAATACCTATCGAAATGTAGCAGAATTTTTTCAAATCGGACCATTCGTTAAAAAGTTATGCGTGATCAAAGTTTCTATCTCCATCTCCCTCGCACTCCCTTTACCTGAGTAACGGGTATCTGATAGTCGGGGCACCCGATTATAGCGTTCTCTCTTGTTTTTAAATAAGAAATGTTATACATTTTTATTTTAATAGGCTTGAACATTTTTTTAATCAATCAATACAGATTCTTACTCAATAGTTTCAAACAGATAACTCTTTAGGGACGTTTTTTGTACAGAAAAATAATCTAGTAGTAACTAATAGTCGGACGACTGTATTAAATTTTTGTCATAAGAAAGATTAAAAAAATTAATGGAAAAACACTTGGGTTATCGATTTCGGAAATATTAACTATATATATCTGACATGGAATAATCAAAAATGTATCGGGAAATCGATACAGCTGCATTGCTTTTAAACTATACGCATACAAAATCGATACATATTTAATTTAACACATGGAAGTATAGTTTCGCCTCTTAAGACAATCAAAGCCTCTTTATATAATCCATGCCCAAACCCACTTAATGAACTGTATTCCAGACAATCGTATTTACCTCGTACATCAACATCGACGGGTCAGAGATCTCCGGCTACATTGACCTGGACATGAGCTGGCGCAACTGCTACCGCGAGGCCATCAGACACACCGACTGGCGGGGAGTCTTTGGAGGTAAAGCGCGGCTGAAGCCCATGCCCCACCACCTCAGCTATTCGAATCCGCGGTACAACGTGGTCAAGTACTCCGACAGCGACAACTACCAGGTGATGCACGACCACAACTACGGACTGATGTTCATGCACCGGGGCGATCACAAGATGATCTCGGTGGGCGGCCAGGTCAACATGTACTCGCGGAACGCCAAGCGATCGATGGTCTACTCCCCCAAGTTCGGATATGTGGTCTTCTACGATCACTTTGTGCGCAAGAAGGTCTAGAGGGAGGTCGGTGAAGTCTTCATCAAAATTATGAAATTATGGTATGATTAATAAAGTATAGGAATAATCTGAAGCTATTATTTTGCACTTTAAAGGGATCATACTAAACACTTTAACATTAAGCGGAAATGCCGTTTTTTGAAATAAGCTTAAATTTTAACATTTAACATTTTTCAAATGTATAATTGAGACTGTATTCGACCAGCAATGAACTACTTATAAATAGCTTAGATTTATACACCTGAATTCCATAGCGCCAACAAGTTCTTGATCAAAATTTTCAGTTACCTTTCTATTGAAACATTCAAGGCTATAGTAGGCCACCCTTTCTTATTACTCTTGAGTCCCATGTTTCTGCCTAAAGCACTGCCTTTCATAGCTCCATAAAACCTCCATCGATCATATGTGCATGCCCTACCATGATTTTAAGTCCACCGTGCTTTACTGTCTTCGGTGGTATTCTGCATTTGGAGGTCGACGGTTTGGACTCACCTGTCCAAAGGATATAATGCCAATTAGATAGTGGTCAGTTCAAGTGGCTTTTGGCTAATTTCAACCTGGCTTTTATATGCCTTTTACCAAGTAATGACACCTTCCGTGAACTTCGCGCATTCAAATTGTTCTCATGAAGTCGCCGGCCAATGGTCACATCACTGATCCCCAAGCCAATCTTCGCTTTTATATCCCTAGAGGAAGCAAAAGGATTAGCTTTGCTGAAGCGTACCATCGTTTTTCGGATTTCGGTTCATATCTGATGGCATTAGAAACCATCTTGGCAGAACATTTCAAAAGGCTTTGAATATCTTTTTATGTTTTGCCCTCCTTTCTAAGCGGAATGATCTCTTCCCTTTCTCGCTTGAAGCAGTGAGGTCCTTTACCCACTAAAATGAAATTTTTTGCGTAGCAAAAGTGTTTCGTCATATTAACTATAATAAAGAACTCAATTAAACTTCCTTTTAACAAAATTACAAAAACTTTCGGCACTTTGCCCCACCCCCTTTTGTAATATACCGTGACACTGACGAAATGTAAACATTTTTATTATTTTATAAACGATGAAATTTAAAGTTTACGGGACGCGAGATAAGAGTACCCCATGAATCATAATAAAACACAATATAAATTTGGCACCGTTTCAAGTGGGAACTTGGCTCTCTTTTGCTCTCATAACATTTTGCAATGTTTAGAATAGGCCTAGCAAAACAAACGGCATATGGCGGGCGCTCTCTCGGGATCTTTTTCGCTCTCGGGCCTTTAAATTTAGCATAGCTCTGATTCCGTTCTTATTTCGTATGTCGACCAATGCTCATTGCATTGCAGACCTCCGAGACATACAGTTGAAAACGAGCGAAAATTTAGTGGGCTAGTTTTACATCATCATCAAAGCCAGTTAGCTTAAGCAGTTTAATTAAGTGAATTTCTACGAATCAAAGCATACGAAATGTATTCGGTAATTATCAGTCATATCCTACTGATTGTATTGCCAGTAATCGCCGATAGAAATCAGTTTATGGTGGGTAAGTTTCTTTCAAATTAGGTCACAGTCTCGACTGCGGCTACTCGAGTCAAATTTTTGCACATTCTCTAGGAAGCATCTTTACATCGGACAAAGATGAATCGGAAATCGCATTCCGAACTGCGGTGGACCGAGCTAACATATTGGAGCGAAACATAGAACTTGTTCCAATTGTGATGTATGCCAACACGGATGACAGTTTCATCATGGAAAAAATGGGTATGAATTAAAAGATACTAATTTAATTCTATGACTTAATATCGACAATATATATAAGCAAGCCGTTGCTCATTCCAAATCCTTAATCTATTTTAGTTTGCAATTTAATTTCCCAAGGAGTAATTGCCATTTTCGGACCCAGTACAGGGAGCAGTTCTGGCAAGTATTGAAAAATAAGTCAAAAGATTGAAACAAATGTAATTCAGCATCTCCATCGCAGACATAATTGCCTCAATATGTGATACCCTGGATATACCGCACATTGTTTACGACTGGATACCAAATGAGTCCATACCAGATCGAGAGCACTCCACCATGACCCTCAATGTTCACCCAGATAACCTCTTGTTATCCCAGGGACTTGCTGAGATTGTGAAGAGCTTTGGCTGGCGAAGTTTTACAGTTGTCTATGAGACCGATAGAGGTGAGTTCTAAAATTGCAACGCGATAAGTATTAATATTTTGGCGACATTCTAGAGCTGCAGCAACTTCAGGATATTTTGCAAGTCGGTGAGCCCAGCAGCAATCCAACTACAGTGAAACAACTGGGACCGGATGACGACCATAGACCTTTTTTGAAGGAAATTAAGCTCTCCACTGATAACTGCTTGATTCTCCATTGTGCCCCGGATAATCTGTTGAACATATTGCAACAAGCTAATGAGCTAAAAATGTTGGGCGAATATCAGGTTCATATTCAAAAGATGTGCAAATAGCTTAATTGATTGATTCCTTTTTTTTAAGAGCATATTTATACCTCTTCTGGACACGCATTCCGTTGAGTTCGGAGAACTTGCTAAGGTCGAGGCCAACATAACAACGGTACGTCTGATGGATCCAACCGATTTCCACGTCAAAAACGTAGTGCACGACTGGGAGGAGCGCGAGAAACGCGAGGGGCGCTACTTTAAAGTGGAGCCCAAGCGAGTAAAAACCCAGATGATACTGCTCAATGATGCCGTTTGGCTTTTTTCAAAAGGACTTACTGAGCTCGGAATTTTCGAGGAGCTTACTGCACCCGAACTAGAATGCAGGCGAAAGAAACCCTGGCCATTTGGCAAACGCATCATTGAGTTCATGAAAGCGGTAAGTTGTTAAAAAAAAACTGGAGTCTTCGAATGTATGCTTTATTAGAGTCTTCTTAACTTACTATTTAAACCTATTAAACCGTATTTAGGTCATTGAAAGCTCATTTTACTAGAATTAGGACCTTTTTCAACTTTATTAGACACGCTACAGAGATTGGTTTGTTAATATATATGATAAAACTCGAAAAAAGTTTGTGAAATTCAATATCAATAAATTGCACCTTAAAATATACACTTATAAAACTGAAATTCATTTTATCGCCTACTCCCGGAGATGGATCTATTAAGCCCAACAATTGAAGAATTTATTAATTTATTTAATTTTCAAGATATTCTACCCAAAAGAACATAAAACTAAACAACTTTGAAGGGTCATTATTATCTTCTACAAATTCTAATAAGGGTTACATATTTGTAATCGTAAAAGATCTTCCTATTTAATAGAGTCTTAATTTAATTTCGGTTTTCTGTAAAATTATGGTGACAGGCTTTGAATACTAACAACTTTTCCAACTTTTGCCGAACTATTTCATTTTACGTGTAAAAGAAAAAGTTGTTACTAGTAAAATTTGCTTTGATAACCGAAATTGGCTGACCAGAATTAGGCACAAATTTAAAATAGGCAAGCCGAAGTTTATATACCCTTGCAGTTAGTACAAAACAACTACATTTCGATTTCTATGCCTATATTACTAAAAACAATGAAGCCGTGTCGATTTTGCGCTGCATTTTTTCGTCGTTTCTATGGCAACTATATGATTTTGTTGTGCGAATTTGACAAAACTAAAAGCGTAATTTCGATTTAGTAAAAAATTACTATATCTCAAAGATTATTTTGATAAACAGAAAAACAGCAAATTAAAATTTTATTTAATTTTATTTTTTTTAATCTTTTTTCGATTCTTCTATGGGAGCTATAAAACCGTAATTCGACTCTGCATATGCATATATGGTCGGAAATGTCTCCTTGTCTTAAGTTATAAAGGGTATAAAAATATTACTTTCTTATATTAGATGTTGCTTTTGTCTAAAGAGGTCATTTATATCCATTTACCCTTTGCAGCGGTCCGAAGAGACGTCCACGGGACGGATTGACTTCAATGAAAATGGCCAACGAAGCTTCTTCACACTACGATTTATGCAACTGAATGCAACCGGCTTCTTGGATCTAGCCACTTGGGATCCGGTGAACGGTTTGGACGTCCTCAATGACGGCGAAGAGAGCAAGAAGAGAGTAGGCCAGAAGCTGTTAAACAAGACATTTATTGTGTCATCCCGACTGGGAGCACCTTTTCTCACGCGGCGAGTACGGGAGGAAGGGGAAGTCTTGAGCGGAAATTCCGAATTCGAGGGCTACTCCATTGACCTAATCGCCGAAATAGCCAAAATGCTGAATTTTAAGTACGAGTTCCGACTTACTCCCGATGGCAAATACGGTGCCCTTAACAAGGTGACCCAGACTTGGGATGGCATCGTGGGACAATTGATCGATGGGGTAAGTTGGTTATTTTCTTAACTTAAAGAGTCACGTTGAAATGGTGCATTAGAAACTTTCTAAGTTGTACGTTATCAACTTATTTTTCTATACCCTATGCCTACAATGAAAAGGGTACGGTGTCTTCGTGAAACAATTGCGAATATATTAATATTCAATAAACTACACTAGTTTAACAAATTAAATCGACAATTAATTCCAGAGGTGAAAGTTTGCTTATATAAATTGGATTGTTAAAAAAATTTTAAATAGTTTTCAAAACTCAAGAAGGGCTACCATAAAACAAAAACGCATAGAAACTGAAATTAATTTTATCGCTTTTACTCAACAATTTTAGTGCAGCAAAGCCATCAGGAAATGTTTAAAGTTTCAGCTCAATTAAAGTTAAGCTGAATTCTAGTCTATTTTTGTACCACTGCGTTCTCAAAACTGGGACGAAATGAAAAGATCTCGGTTTCATATCAGTGATCTGCAGATAAAATCTTTTTTGAATCATTAGCGTTTAGTCTTAGGGAATTTAGTTCAAAAAGTTCAGATATTGCCGACCTGTGTAATTGTCTTATTTCAAATTTAACTGAAAACACAATAAAATACATTTAACGTTTTATTTTCAGAATGCCGACCTTGGCATCTGTGATTTGACCATGACATCTTCCCGACGCCAGGCCGTGGACTTTACACCTCCTTTCATGACCTTGGGAATCAGTATCCTGTTCTCCAAGCCCCCTACCCCACCCACTGATCTGTTCTCCTTCTTGTCTCCCTTCTCGTTGGATGTGTGGACTTACATGGGAACAGCGTACCTCTTCATATCCACGCTCCTGTGCGCACTGGCTCGAATGGCGCCCGACGACTGGGAAAATCCTCATCCGTGCAAGGAGCCAGAGGAGGTGGAGAACATATGGTCGATTATGAACACCACCTGGCTCTCGATTGGATCGTTGATGGGACAGGGCTGTGACATTCTGCCCAAGTGAGGGGAGGTTGCCCAAGTACACAGTTCCTCGTCTTACATGTGATTTATTTTTCAGGGCAGCATCCACAAGATTGGTGACTGGAATGTGGTGGTTCTTCGCTCTGATGATGCTGAACTCCTACACGGCCAATTTGGCCGCCTTCCTAACCAATTCCCGCCAGGCAAACTCGATCAGCAGCGCAGAGGATCTGGCGGGCCAAAACAAGATTAAGTACGGTGCAATGGCCGGTGGTTCCACAATGGGTTTCTTTCGAGACTCCAACTTCAGTACTTACCAAAAGATGTGGACCGCCATGGAAAGCGCCAGTCCCTCAGTTTTTACAAAAACCAATGACGAGGGCGTCGAGAGGGTGCAGAAGGGCAAGAACCTGTACGCATTTCTGATGGAGTCTACCACTTTGGAATACAATGTGGAGCGCAAGTGCGATCTGGTGCAGATCGGCGGCTTGCTGGACTATAAAAGCTATGGCATCGCTATGCCGTTTAGTAAGTGTTGATTAGAACCCAATTTCCATTTAAGATTTCCCATGAACTTTGAGTACTTTGAGTTTAACGAATTGACTTACTCCTGTAAAAAAATGTTTGATTTGCAAGACAATTTTACTAAAAGTTCCCGACTGGCGATATCAGTTTTATACCCTTGTAAAAACGTAGCTTGTAACTTTGATTTATTTCTGTTCTTCTTCTTCCAATACTTGGATAATTTATAAAACATTAAAAAAAAATGAATTTAAGTTTAGCCCATTAGTAACATTGACCAACAAAATTAATAATGGTTTAGTAACCATGAAATAGTTAATAATTATGCGTAGCGCTATAAGTCGTTCTCGTAAATGTTATTTAACTGCAAATTATAGTTGAAAATGATGATATTTTACCATCAAATGGTTAACTAAGCATCATCAAAATACATCTTACAATTCTCATAGTATCATTGGTTAATTTGAACAAAATAAAAAATAAATTATAACAAACATGTTTCAGTTAATATTCTGATTAAAAGGCTAGCATTCATTCTAAAAATTCTTGCAGATTCCCCATACCGCAAACAGATCAGCGAGGCAGTCTTGAAGTTGGGCGAACTGGGACAGCTGGCGGAGCTGAAGCGGAAGTGGTGGAAGGAGATGCACGGCGGAGGCAACTGCGAGAAGAGCGACGAGGAGGGCGGGGACACTCCGGAACTGGGCTTGGAGAACGTGGGCGGCGTCTTTCTGGTGCTGGGACTTGGCTTGTGTGCGGCCATGGTTCTCGGCTGCACGGAGTTCTTGTGGAACGTCAAGTCAGTAGCTATTGACGAAAAGGTAATTTTTATTTACCCCGAGTTAAATTAAAACGTAAGTTTTTTTTTTTATGGAGGGATCTGTTGGTTGGGACACGAAATATGAAGTCGATATACCCCTATCAACTGTCACTTAATTTCACATTCCGCCAATGTACATCATTCTATACAGGGGCTTTCATATGAAAATAAATTAAATAAAATAAAATATATTAATTACAAATTTGATCAAATCGTAGAATTTCAGTCGACAATTTCCAATTGTTCCATACAAATTCAATTATCAGAAATTTCAACTTGTGGATTTGCTAAAAACCAGAGTTACTTTTAATTTTTTATTCAACAGCTCTCTCTGTATATATATTTACTAGGATCACACCACGTATTATTACCTATAAATTCAAATACGTGATTATAATTTGGCTTGTTAATAGCTTACTAATATTTTTAAATAATCACTATTGACAAAAATCAGTGTTCAAAAATTGTATATATCTTTCGTAGACCGGCTGTAAAGCTAAATGTATGCTTTGGTAAATTGATCAACACAAAGGAAAAACTACGATTGGCTTTACAATTCTGTCCTTTTCAACATAATTTGAAAATTCAATAAAAGGACAATCAACATTTCGGTTGCTGATTGTTTAAAAAGCAATATCCAAAGAAAACTTAAATTTGTGTTTGTAGTATTAATCTAATCTATACAATTCAATAGACATTCACAGAAATTAAATATATAAAAGATCAAAACTTATTTTACACATCAAAACATTTTTAAGTGTGATTTATTTATTTAAAAAATCGAACTGAAGCGAAAACCAAACATGCAAACTTTCTTAATCTTTCTCATACACTTTGGAGCTCAAAAAAATTCTTTGACTGGGCAATAAAAAATAAAGTAAAAGTACTGAAACTAGACTTAATTTTGTAATAAACTAAGTTTTTTCAAAGGCAAAATTTGTGTGCTATTCGCTCGTTTATTATAACTTTTTGAAAAAAATTCGCAGTCTGTATTTCAACTAGATCAACATATTTTGTTTAATAAAAGTAATATTTTAGGTAATAAAAATTAAAAATAAATAAATTTACTAAGAAGTCTAATCGAAAATGTTGCCCAGGGCTAACCAATTGCTCTTCTTCGCAGATCTCACTTAAAGATGCTTTCAAGTCTGAGGCTTTGTTTGCGGCTAAAGTTTGGATAACCACTAAACCTGTGCACACAAGCTCTGGCTCTGGCAGCTCATCTTCGGCCAGATCCTCTTCAAGCCGATCCAAGCATTCTTCAAAGTCGCAGGGATTATCTATGAAAAGTCTCAAAAGCTCAGGGGATCATGACATAGAAGCATCGGTTCACAGCAAACTGAAGAAAATCGGATCCATGTTCTCACTGAAATCACAGAAGACAACGACTCCGCCTCCGGAAATCGGCTGGAAACTGGACAAGTCAACGCAAATCGATGAAGTCCCAACTCCCGAAGGCGACCCCGAGTTGATCCCGGAGGAAGAGCTGCCCCATCCGCATCATCGACATCATCATCATCACCATCACCATCGCCATCATCACCACCAGCACGAACCAGATCAGGAGCATGAAAAAGATACGTCGCCTGTTGAGTAATGTAATTTGGTAAAAAACTGAATAATGCAACCAAATCTTATCGACCTCCATCCAAAAGACCAATTTCTTCAACAGGATGCTTTTTATTTCCGGCCTCGGGGCTTTTCACTCACAAAAAAAAATTCATTGGTCAAACTTACCAATAAAATAGTCCCTAGTCCATGGAACCTGCTTAGTCCACCTTGCTTTTATTAAATAGATTTTTCATGAAAATAGTAAATTAACCATGAATAGTAGTGTTAATATTAAATTAATTGACTTTCTTTAAATTATAACATAATATGTTCATCGTTCCCCATTTAAAACTGTGGAAGTGTTTGAAAACTTTCTACTAAAATGACCATACCTGTTAAACATAGAGTAATAGAGTAGGTTGTGTTTGTTGAAAGGTTTGCAACAGGAAGAAAGAAGAGTTTCCTACCCTAAAAGGATAGCTGAGTCGATTTAACTTCAATATCTCGAAAACTATACGTGCTAGAGATTTGGGACATAAAAAGCAGATTCTCGTTTTGCATATTAATAAAAATGTAATTTAAATTTCGTGAAATTCTGTGGGGACATAATAGAGAAATGCTTTTGGACGGTAAATAAGACTAGTTTTCGAAAGCAAATCCACAATTTACTCCGGTGCAATTTATCTGTACAGTTCTCAAACTTAACCAACTTTCTCAAAATTTGTCGAGCTGTAGCATTCGTTACACCGTGTTTATGCAAGTGAATAGGGTTCAATTTCTAGGAAAAAGAGCAATTAATGACAAAAATTAGTTAACCAGAAGTCAAGAAAAAAATTTATATATGAAAACAGGAAAAACCAAAGTAACTTACACTTTATTTTACTAATCAAGTCCAAAAAGAAATTAGTTTAATTATTCGATAGAAGTCCTTCTTCGTAAATTATTAAAAAGTTTTACCTAATTGTAATACGATTTAATTATTAATCACTGAACTTTACCTTAAAGAATAAACCTCTTTGTTGGAATTTAATTGTTATAAAAATACTATATTACTATGTTATTTTCAGCTTATGTTTTTGAAATAAAAATAGCAAAATATATCCAGTATTATTTAAATATAAAGAAAAATAGGTGAATTTCGAATCCGAAAAAATAAAACTGTATTCTACAAAACTCCATAAAAGCACTAAAGTCTGCAAACTGGGATAACCTTCCGTACCTCCTCTTTATGTACCATATTTTCTACATATGTAACTAGCAATTTCCGACTGCGAATGTTGCCGTGACTTTTTACTTATATATGTATTTACCATATTGTGTGATTAAAATCTTTTATCTTTGAGACTTTAATTTAAACGAGGAAGCTAACTGCGGAAAGCCGAAGTTTTAATACCCTTGCAGACATATAAAAATAGAACAAGAAAGGAAAGCTAACTTCGGGCAGAGCCGAAGTTGATATACCCTTGCAGAATACTCTGTAAATTATATTCTCCAAAATTATTCATATGATGCATTCTTAATACTCATAAAAAATCCCAACTTCCTAACTTTAAAAACACCAAAGTTATGGCATTTCCAATCGTTAAGTTATATGGCAGCTATAGGATATAGTCGGCCGATCCTTATGAAATTTGGTAGGTCGGATTGATTGTCCAAAAATAAAACAAATAGAAAATCCCAACTTCCTAACTTAACAAACACAAAAGTTATGGCATTTCCGATCAATCAGTTATATGGCGGCTATAGGATATAGTCGGCCGATCCTTATGAAATTTGGTCGGTCGGATTGATTGGCCAAAAATAAAACCCATAGAAAATCCCAACTTCCTAACTTAACAAACACCAAAGTTATGGCATTTCCGATCAATCAGTTATATGGCGGCTATAGGATATAGTCGGCCGATCCTTATGAAATTTGATAGATCAGATTGATTGTTCAAAAATAAAACCCATAGAAAATCCCAACTTCCTAACTGTAGAAACACCAAAGTTATGGCATTTCCGATCAATCAGTTATATGGCAGCTATAGGATATAGTCGGCCGATCCTTATGAAATTTGGTAGGTCGGATTGATTGTCCAAAAATAAAACCCATAGAAAATCCCAACTTTCTAACTTAACAATCACCAAAGTTATGGCATTTCCGATCAATCAGTTATATGGCAGCTATAGGATATAGTCGGTTCCGACATATATACTGCGTGCAAAGGAAAGAAGTGTGTGTGCAAAGTTTCAATTTGATAGCTTTAAAACTGAGAGACTAGTTTGCGTAGAAACAGACAGACGGACATGGCTATATCAACTCAGGAGGTGATCCTGATCAAGAATATATATACTTTATAGGGTCGGAGATGTCTCCTTCACTGCGTTGCACACTTTTGACCAAAATTATAATACCCTCTGCAAGGGTATAAAAAAAGGGATATTTTTCACAGCGTTTAACAATTATTCCTATGGAAGGTATAAGATATAGACGTCCGATCGCTTTTACCCTTATCAAGGTATGCGTAAATAAATAAGACTTGGAAAAATTGATGTCAATAGCTTAAACACTGCGCGAAATATCCTGAAAAACTCCTTCACTGCGTTACAAACTTCTAGAAAGAAGAAATTACCGAATGTACCGTTGATAACTTTTTTTAGCGTGGCCCAACCGGTAGAGGTGTCTGGGCACTAACCTTTTGAGAAAAATGGTCTAAGTTCATATCCTGGCAGTGACGAGTTAAAATGTGTTTAATATAAGTTTTTGCTTTTCTTAATGGCTATATGTTTTAAAGCTTTCTAAATATAGATTGTTCTTAATTTTAGTAGTAGAAGGAAGTTCGACTCTCCTGGTGATGCTGATCAAGAATATATACACTTTATAGGGTCGAAAATGTCTCCTTCATTGACCAAAACATTATTGAACAGTTATAGGTTTGAATAATATAAAAAAAAATGATTATAGAACCTTACTTTTTTTTACAAATCTTTAAACAATACTTTTCCCTTCCCCTATCAAGATTTGTCAGTTTCCTCCATATGTGGGGAAAATGGGCCCACTCTTATTTACATAATACTTACTACGCATTTTTATACCCTTGCAGAGGGTATTATAATTTTGGTCAGAAGTTTGTAACGCAGTGAAGGAGACGTTTCCGACCCCATAAAATATATATATTCCTGATCAGGATCAATAGGGGAGTCGATATAGCCATGTCCGTCTGTCCGTCTGTTTCAATACCGTTTGCGAGCTCAGTTTAAAAGCTAGCGATCTGAAACTTTCACAGTTGTCCTAAAACATGTGTATGCAGATCAAGTTTGAAAACCGCCCCGATCGGTTGTCTATATCCTAAAGCTCCCATAGGAACAATCGGATATAACTTTCAAGAATGGAAGATATTTCGCGCAGTGTAAAAGCTATTAACATAAATCTTTCAAATCTTATTTTTTTATGCATACCTTGATTAGGGTAAAAGCACGTGGCGATCGGACGTCTATATCCTATAGCTCTCATAGGAACAACAGGGTGAAATCGGTCCAAATTTGATGATTTTCTGAATTTTTCGCGTAGTGTGTAAGCTACTGACATAAATTTTTCCAAGTCTTATTTATTTACGCATATCTTGATTAGGGTAAAAGCGCTTGCCGATCGGACGTCTATATCTTATAGCTTCCGTAGGAAAAATTGTTAAAGGCTGCGAATGTATCCCTTTTTTTCCATTTTTATATGACATTTTTGCAGTATAAAAGCAATTGGAATCAAACAATGCAAATCTAGTTTATTTATGTATACCTTATTCCTTTCGCTACTTTTTCAGTTTTAGCAATTTCGGCAAAGTCTGCAAGGGTATTAAAACTTCGGCTTGCCGAAGTTAGCTTCCGTCCTCGTTTAAACTGTTGTTTATACTGTCTATTCAAAAATATTAACAACAATTATTGGGGTTTTTCAGTTTTTATTTGATTTTCTATTTTAATTTTTTTTTGGTTAATTATTTTTTTCTTTTTGTTTACGTACATACATAACTCAAACATACTTCTTAGTATTCTCGTAAAGTATTTGAATTCGAAATTCCTCTAGTAATTATGTTGTCCTATTTAAATAATATTTAAAAATATTTTATATGAATACTTAAGATTTTTTTTAAATTATTCTGATCCTTTTTCGCTTTAAATATTAATAATATCTACGATATTGTTGCACATTATAATGGTAAATTTTTTTTTTGCAAAGCTAGTATAATACGTTTGTTACTTCTCTTCATTTTAAGGTACATTATTTGTTGCTTTTTTTTCTCCGTTTTGGTTTTTTTTTTATTTTTTAGAGCTTCTATCGCACAATTTTCTTTATCCATCCATACATTTTTACCTACTCCTATATACTTATTAAATTGCTAAATTGATATTTTACAAAAATATAGAGTTTAAATAATGTGCATAGAATATTATCTGGTTGAATACTAGGACAAAAATAAATTAACAGAACTAGAAAAAAAGAATTTCTCAGTTGAAAAGTTCTGTTGTTTCATATGTACAGAATAAGACAGGAATTATAAATATTCTCTTATATATAAATTAAAATACTTTTTTGAAGAGTATTTTTGCTATTAAGTATAACTTGGGGTACATTACTTAACACTTTTGTTTGGGCGATTTATCTAAGGTAATGTCCTTGGAGAATTCTCTAAAATTGCTTATTCATCTGCTGTCTATCGACCATGACCATATCCTTCGGGCAGCGGCGTCGTGGTCAATCCTTGGCGGCAATGGCCACGGGCGGAAATTGTCGCTCATCGTAAAGCTTCGTCGGAGTATCTATGGCGTCGCAGAGCTTTCGGAACTTGGCGGAATCTAAGGATGAGGAATGGTTACAGAAATGGTTCGAAAATGAATGAATCAATCTGCCCACCTGACATCGCATCCGCCTGATCACCCTTCAGAATGCTCGCATAGCTGTTATCCTGCGTCGGGTCCGGATTCTCGATGAGCACACTGGCCGCACAGCTCTTCAGCATCGTAAGCGAGGGCTGCGTCATAACCGCTGGACTCGCCGACTTGATCTGCGACCTCAGTACGCTTTCGCTCAGCTGCAACTCGATGACATCCTCCAGGGCTCCACGCAGGTCGTGGACAGACAGCAGTTTGCAGGCGCCGCCCCGATCCGCAAGGAACTCGTGCACGTAGAGGAAGCCGTCCTCGCACGCAATCAGCAGACGCAGCTCCTTCTGCACTCGGGTCAGGGCGCATATGTGCCTCAGGCCGCCCTGGGCCAGCTGCACCGTGGCGAAGGATCGGTCCTGGGCCAGCACTTCGCTGACTTGCGTGGGCAGCAGCAACGAGGACACCGCCTTGGAGAACATCCCGCCCCAGCTGGCGACAGGTGCGGCAGTTTTGTTGGCCTCCTCTGCTGTGGTGGCCGCTATTGATTCCTTGGCAGTAGTTTCTGACTTGGCGGCCACATCCGCTGTAATAAATACAATATATTAACATTAATTAAATTTACTCTTATGAAATGAATTTATAAGGTATTTCTCAACGGTTCATGCTGAATAAAACAATTTCGTAGGCCAAACTGTACTACAATTTAATTTTTAGATAGTGAACCGAAATAATAGTATAAAAAATTTTAAGGAAAACTTCTTGAATTTAGCCCATTAAAGAAATACCAAACTAATTCTACTAATTTTGAGGTAATGTGTAAGACAACTCTTTTCCTTTAATTTATTCCATCTTAGAATTCTGGCAGATTCGTAGGGTTTTAATCTCGGACCGCAGCAAGCAGTCAAATGAGTTTTTAATTTTTTACAAAACCTAATATGGCAATATCAATATTTATTAGATTTCCCATCATTTTTGTTACTGTCGTCATTACATATCTAGTACAAATGTATATCACATGTGTGATCTCTTGCAATATTGTTTACTTTCTTCACTAGTGCCAATCATACAGCCCCCTTAGGCAACCACTCACCTATCGCCTTCAGTTCAACGGCCTCCACTGCCCGCGCGTCGATCTTGAAGACGTGGACGGTCTCCGTGTTGGAGGAGGCGCACAGGAAGTCCCCGCTGGCCGAGAACACCAGAGAGGCGATGCGCACGCAGCTGACGCCCCGCCGGAACTCCTGCACCCGCTGGCCATTCTTGACGCAGAAAACACGGATGACGGTGCCGCGCTCGGAGGCGGTGGCCAGCAGGGCGCCGCTGGGCGAGAAGGCCAGGGCCGAGAGGGGCGTGTCGTGGGCCTTGATGGTCATGCCCGTGCGCAGCTTGCTGGCGTTGAAGATGCGCAGCTCGCCGCTGTTCTGGCAGACTGGGAAGGCCAAGTGCGAGTTGAGGGACAGGGCGCACAGGCCCTGCTCGTTGGGCGCGATGTTCTCGATGGAGTGCAGGATCTTCATGTCGCGGATGTCGTGGATGTGTATGCTCTCCGCCAGGCAGACGATCAACCGCTGTCGGTTCATGCGGACGCACAGGATCTCCGACGGGTAGAAGCAGTTGCAGATGTCCTGCTTCTTCTTGAAGTGCAGCATCTTGAGGCAGTTGGGTTTCTGGGCGGTGACCAGCACCACCAGCGAGCTGTTGAACAGGCGCTCCACTATTCGGATCTGCTCCGTGTTGTCCTTGGCGAATATCTCCTCCACCTTGTCCTGGCTGGCTATCGAGTACAGTCGAAGCCCTGTGGGACTTAGTACGGACAGGGAACTATAGGAAAGCATAAAACATAAACAATAATTAAAACAACTGAAAATCTTTTCAAACCCAAATGCAACTTAAAGTCAACTCCCGGCATCCTTAAAACTCCTTTAACTTTACATAAACTTGTTAAAACTATCCGAAACGATTTTAAATTAAATCGATCGTTCATATGCCAACCATGGGATATAGCCCTCCGATCGGCAAACTTTTTTAACATTATCAGTGTACACTGCGCAAATAGCTATGGGATTTCCAATTTTTATAATACTCAAGGCATTACCATCTAATCTCTAGTTTTAGGTCAGATGGACGGACGAATATGACTATATATATTTGCTTAGTAATGTTGATTAAGAATAAATATACCATTTACAGTCGGAGACTTCTGACCAAAAATGAAAAATAGTTATTAATATTTGAATTATTTTTTGCTAAAAATGAATCGGTTTTAAAACAAATTTTTGACAATTTTTAAAAACAAATTTTGCCCTATAAAATGTATGTTAAAAACTTTATTAAGGTTATAGCTTTAGACTTCAAAACACTTTTTTAGTTTAACCATTTACTCTTTTATTACAAGAACCTATTAAACGTAATTTTAAATAAAATATATGTATATTATTTTTGTTTAGTTTTTCCCGTAAAATAATGATTATTTTTTTATTCTCAAAAATAATAAAAATCGTCATTACTATTTTTTGTTACAACCAATACGAAATTTCCTTATTCCCCAAGAATGAGGCAGACACGTTTATAAATGGGAACAGGTGAATTAGGTGTATTGACTGATAATGTTTCTTATAATTTGCAGTTATACAGATATATAAATTTAAACTTCGGCTTACCGAAGATTTCTTTTACTCAAAGATGTAGATGGTTTCTTTTCAGTGAGCGACATTCTATGCACACGTTTAATGTGACTATATTTTGCATGGCCAACTAGCCCAAAATTATTATAATCAACTACAAAGTCATATTTATTATCGAATTAGCCCTCTCGGGCTTCCAAAAATTGCCGTAGTGGACGGTATTTCACGTCCCCATGGCGGGGTATTGGTTAAAGTTTTCAACTAGCAATAACCGCACCTCAGTAGAACTTCATCGGTTACGGTATTGCCACTGCGCAAAGATAACTGTTCGCTGCCATTCGACATCTACTCCATGCAGGCGCTGCTAGAACCAGTTGGGAATTGTATGCGCACACGCACGCAAAAATTTCTCAAGCGACGACTTTGCAACCGGTCAAAAGGTGCAGCATGCTTTTAGGCTCCCATTGCTCTTGTACTTGTGATTTCGAGTGGTGCTAATGCAGAATCGAGAAATGTTGCACGAAAATTATTTGAGGGTGTTTCCTAAGGGTGGTTTTTTTTCTCACTCCTTTCGAAATGGAAACAACCAAATGTTGTCCAAGCAAATTAAAGGGTTTGGTCAATGATTTTTACTTTTAGGAAAACCACCTAAAATAAATTTACTTAATTGATTATCAAATCTATTTTACTTAATTAATTGCAGCTTTAACAATTACGAAAATTGTATACTGTAATTAAAAATACATGTAATTTCCACGCATGAATAATACACATGTGCATTAATAAATAAATTAATGAACGAAATCATATTTATTTGGTGGATTTGGGCCGAAATCGAATATTTTACCAATTTCATTTTTACCACACAAATAACCTTCACAATATAAGTTTAATTTGTATAGACCCTTAACTATTAACTACATAGACCCTTAACTATTAATCATAACAGTTATTTTTGGGCCAAAACAAAAACTATTAATATAACCTTTTTTCTCCTGAATAGTATATATTTATTGTTTGGAATTAACATGTGTATATATTGAAGGCTAGCCACCGAAATATTTCAATGCCATTTAAAAACTAATATTTCGATGAAAGCAGCTTGTAAATCCTCCTTCATCCTTATTTTTTAAACTTTGCATTTCCAGCTTTCCATTTTCCGCTTTTCACTATCCTCTTTTGTTGCGTTTTTACAATAAACAATCTTGAGATCGAGCTTTGAACATTACATTTTAGAATTGCGCCGCTGCACTTTGTACTTGGTGCCTATTGCCAGGACCTGTCCCATCCAACTTCGGTCCCTCCCTCAGAGGAGGTCGCTTGGCGACAGCTGGGACTCTCCCTCCGCCAGGTAGATGTGCATGGCCTTGAGGAGCAGCGCAATGCCCAACTGCTTCTTCTGTTTCATCGTCCACGACTGGGCGGGCCCGTAGTAATCCCCGCGCTTCAGGTTGGTGAGGTGCGTGAGACCCAGGGCGTCTATTATAGACGCCTCGCGGGTGTACGCATCAATGGGTAAGATGTTGTGGAAGACGTGCAGGCAGACGACTCCACTGCCATGCTGCCAAATGTCCAGGATGCGCTCAAGCTTCCGGCTTCCCATCTTGCCATCCCCCGGCGGCGGCGAACGAAAAACCTCTGGCTGCAGGGCGCGAAATCCACCGCCACGTTCCCCCTTCGTCTTCTCCTTGTTCCGCTTTTGGTGGAGGCGAGTGTGCTGGCGCATGGCGTCGTAGAGATGGGCGTACGGACGCGAGGACTTGCCCTTGCCCACGTAGAAAATGGAGTCGAGGAAGCGCTGCCACACACCGAACTTCTCGAGGAAAGCGCTCTCCCCGGGCAGATTCCGCGAGATGCGCGGGTCGATCAGCATGTAGATGAAGCTCTGCTTGAGGTGGCCCTCCCGCAGGTTTTTCTTGGGCATGCCGGACTTGGCGAAATGCGCGGCCGAGGCTGCCTCATGCGGCAAGTAATCGCTGATCCTGGCGAAGTCCTCCGGGGATCGGAGCGTGCGATGCAGCTCCACCGAGTACCGGATCTGCGCCTCCTGGGCGTGCTTCTGGGCGGCCAGGAGTGCCTCAGTGTTCCGCTTGTACTTGATCAGCTGCTTGATGTAGAGCCGCTTGGTCGTCTTGGTAATGGGACCCACTGGAGCTCCCAACTGGGTCAACTCCCGACGCAGAGCATCCGTTTCGTAGTCCAGAGGCAGGGTGTGATTCGTGCTCGCGGTGCTGTCCAGGTCGGGTTTCTTCTCTTTGGGAGCTTGTTCGGTCGGCTGCCGAGTGTCGCTATTCTGCAGGAACTTTGCTTCATAGAAAACTAAGCCATTCTCGTCGTCCGTGTGGACGTAGGCCTCCTTGATTTGCAGGAAGTACTCATCCTGGCGGGGAGACTTCTCCGACACAGACTCCTCCTCACCCTGTGCTGTGAAGAAACTGTGATCCGGTTCCGGCTCGGGCTCCACGACCACCGCCTGGGACACTTGCTCGACCAGCAATTCAAACACCTGGCGACCCGAGCAGGGAGCGTCCTCCGCTTGACCCTTCGGATTGGCCTCGCCCTGCAGCTGGTGCTGCAGGTGCTGCTCGTAGCTGAAGTCCTCCTGCCCAATGGCCTCATCGACGAGCGCCTCCACATGCTCGTTGTACTGGTGGAACAGGGACTGGCGGGCCCGCGAGCGTTCCACCTTCTCGCGCCAGCTCTCTATGAGAGTGCGCCGCTTTGGCTGGTCGGGATCGGCCGGCTGGTCCTCCCGCTGGCTCTGGATGAGCTGCGTGAGATGGGCTTCGGTCAGGGCGAACAGGTTGACCGACTCCTCATCCGGCAGAGTTGGAGGATCGACGCACTCGATCTCCGCTGGCTCTGGGAACTTTGGCTGCGGCCGGTGCCGCCTGTGGGTGATGTTGATGTAGTAGGGCGAGGTGACATCATGATTGTACCTCTGCTGATTGGGCGTGAGTGCGTCCACTCGCTCTTTGTGCTTCTTCTGGCGCTGTCGCTGGCGGAAGATGTGATCGCGCAGCAGCTGCAGCACCTCGAAGTGGCACTCCTCGATGGCGTAGTGCACGGGCAGCTTGTTCTCCTCGTCGGCCAGATCCGCCCGAGCGCCGCGCTCCAGCAGCATCCCAACCAGATCAGCCCGCCCGTAGATGCTGGCGATGTGCAGCGCCGTGGTCTGGCCGTCGCACAGGGCGTCCACATCGAGGTCGGGGCACTCGAGGAACCGCTCCAGGATGCGCTGGGCCAGCTCTCCGTTCCGCATGCCGCACACGTAGTGCAGGGGCGCCAGGCCCCGATCGCAGGGCACGATGCCCGCGTTTATGCTGTTCCGCTCCAGCATCGACATTATGTCCGACTCGTTCTCGTCCTCCAGGGCGTCCAGGAGGGTCAGTGCCAGGAAGTTGGCCCGCTGCTCCATCGCCGGTTCTGCGCGTATCGATTTTTACCCATTCACTCTCTCGCTCTAATTGCAAACTGCAGTCAATTATAGTTTAATTCTCGCCTTTGTTTTTTTTTTTGCTTTGTTGTTGTTGCTGCTTCCGCATTTTTCGAGTGTGGCCATATTCGAGCGCATTGCAGAGGTGCCAGATGTTTGAAATTCCAGTTGATAATTGGTATTTTGGCGGGCCGTATTTTCTGAGCGCCAGATTCAAAACCGGTTGAGCTTTGGCAATTATTACATTTGATTTTTGGCACATAATTGGCTTGAAGGCACGCTCTTAGCGATAAGCCGTCAACAACGGCTTGGTCGGTGAGCGCAACACGTGTTGTTGGTGTTGCTCTCCTAACACCGAAACTAGTTCCCGCCAAAGGCGTAACGTCGCTAAAATGGGGCCCAAGGTTACCAGGCCCCTTGTTATGCGATAGCGCGCTAAGGTCTCTTGTTTGTTGTTGCTACTTGAAGTTGTTTTTGTTTTCGCGTTGTTAGTAAACAAACGCAATGATTAACCAAAATAAACGAAGAGGACAGCAATTTTCTTTAGAACGGCGCATCGAAAATAAACCATGCATTTTTACAGCATTTCAAAAGTGCACTTGAGGTCGTTCGCTTCGAAAATTAACCTGAATGAGCAATTGCAAGTTATCAAACAAACATCAATCTCAAAAACACTGCTGATTCTCACAAAAACAAACTGAAAACAACAATGGGATCACTTAGGGAAATTAATTACTGTTCTTTAAATTAATTTCCTTGAGGTGGTTTTCAGAAATATTCAAATTTTTTAGTTTGTTTTCTTTAGTTTGACTTAAGCAATTAGTAATAGTTTTTAAAGGAATTGCTAAATCTTTAGCTAAAATTATTCTAAAAACTAAACTAAACGAAATTTAATTAAAATTTAACTAAGAAAATAAAAACAAAAAAAATTTATAAATTAAAAAAAAAATTGAGGTAGCCTTTTCCTTCTGACAAAAATCTCATTATATTTCGGAAATGTGTTCTTCACCCAGAGCAACCACTGACTGAAATAATAATACCTTCTGCCAGAGTATTAAACTACAAAACTATTATTTCTCAAATTGTTTAAATCAAGTAAATTTTAATTTGATCTAAAATTAAAGACTCTTGTTAAAATAATTTGTAATACAAAAAATAAATATAAAATGGATTTAAAAAGAATAAATACTTGTCATTCTGAAAATTCAAACTTTTCTACTGTTCAAATCGATATTTAATACTAAATGTTTATTTAAAAAGAAAAGCAGATAATGATTAATACATATTTGAGATCCGTAAAAAAATATCAAAGAAAATAGCCCGAATGAAAATATTATTTTGCGTACATTCACCCCCGCGAGATAATTTATTTGTTTCTGATTAGAAATTGCTCGGATCCCCCCTCTCCCTCTCTTCGAACTTTTTGCCTCTCCAATCGAACTTCTTTGTTCTCTTTTGGCCTATGACGCGCATCTATCAGCTGCCGATTTTATTGCATTTGCGCTTGTATTGTTTTTTCTTTAATTGTTTTCACCATAATTGTAATATTGATTGTTTTTGTTGCTTCCTTTCCGTTTAGCTTTGTGCGAAAAAACGAAGTAGAAAGTAGAATATTTGCAGATTTGCACTTTTTCTTTCACCTTGCTTTGTGCCAAATGACATCAGCTGAGCCAGAATAAACGCAACTATGCAATGGCGAAACTGGTTAATTAAGCTTTAGAATTAAGACTGTGTAGATACAGAGGTCTCTATAACGGGTGTTTTAATAAGAAAATGTTTTTTTTTGTTTACTGGTTCACTGCTACGCGTGATTACTGTACTCCAATTGTCCCTTAGGCACACTTACACCGCGGCATAAGCTGTTTTTTAAATATATTTTTCATTGATTTTTTGATAATTTTGTTTGGTTTTTATTGTTTCGAGTTATCACTGTTTTTAAATGGTTTTTTAGTACGCTTGTTCTGACCGCAGCTTTACATGCATAGAGTATCGCGACATCAGCTGTTGCGCATAAAACACGCATTAGTGTGCGGTTCGTGCGAGTGTGGGTGCCCCGCACAGTGGCCATCAAAATGAGAATACTGGATTGGGTTGCCAATTCAAAGGCCAGTGTTGGCTAGCGGGGTTAACCCGCCAGCCCTATCCACCCCCAGTCTTGTTGGACAGTGTAGTCGGTTACTTTCCTCCCCCGAAACACTCACTCCAGGAACGGTATTTCAAAATAGATGAATGCATGTCGTTGTAATTGGAACTGCTTGTTTGCATGTTCTAATAAACTACATACACACGAGCAAATGACGGCAATCCACGCTCACCCACAAACACACTCCCCCACAGCAGCTGTTTTCGCCTTGTTTACCCGTCTAATTTGTCGATTTTTGTATCTGAATTGTTAGCCGTGGTTTCGCCACTTTTTTCGCTTTGGTGACCTTCCTGGCTTGGAACCAAACCCAAGGATTTCAGCACGGCTGTTGCTACTTACGTAAAGTCCTGGTTGAAGTTCATTTGATATGTGGCCATTGTTGCTGGATTCTCTGGCTGATTGTATCTATTTATCTCGTTACACTTTCACTGGCCCCTAGATATTATTGTTTTTCTTTGCTGTATCTTGTTGCTGTGTTCCACCGTTGGAGCACACAAAAAATACAAAGCTACGCAGGCAGATGAGCAATGCGAATTGATTTGAATTGATTTCGAAAAACTAAATTCGTTTTGTTTGCGTCGTCTTTGTTGTTTTGCTGCGACTGTTTCTCGTTCTATCTATCAACAAATTCCCCCTACACACACAGAAATCGTTTGCTCATTCGAACTAGGTGCGGGAGCTGAACTAGCTCTCTTCTGAAAAATACCAAATATTCGGTATCTAAATAACGGAAAAATTATTAAAATGTATTTCAACAATTTCAAACGAGCTTTCATAAATCTAAGATTAAAGAAGCAAATCTAACCGAAAAGTTCAATCGCGCTCGAAAACTACTGCATATTTTTATTTATTTTTAAATTACTGAGGATTTCAGATCAACGAAAAAAAAATTATTTGAAAATATTCCTGTTATTCACATAACATTTCATTTTAATTGGATTGAACAACCATACCTCAATTTATATGCAATAATTAGCAAAACATTTCGTCTTTACTAAGTTGAACACTTTTGACTAAATCTTTAAGGCGCGCTTGCAGGATATATCAAGAAAGGAAGTTTGCCTCTTAGCTACGAGTATAACCAATTTTGTAACTTTTTTAAGAACAACTGATTTTTTAATCTAAAAATGTTACCAACATTTCTGTTGATCATTAATTTGGAATACAAATGTATAGGATAATTTTTAAATTACCAATGAAAACATGTACATTTATAGTTTAATAATTTAATAGATTAACAAGAAATTATATTCCCCTAATATTAAATCATTATAGATCTAACTATGCGTGGCATGAGCCTTTCAGAGTATTATGTTCTGACTATAATAGACTTTTTCCTATAATCTCAAATCTTGACTCTCTGCCGCTCCTAAAACCATTAATATCAGCTTCATTTGCACAAAAATTGATCTTACTATTACTTTTTTCCCGGACTTTTACCTATATTTTCTTGGCTCGCGTCTATCTTCTCGCGAATCGTGCCGTATTGATTTTGACAGAAATTATAACACAACTAAAAAACAAATTCTAAAATCGCCCAAAAATTCGTCAACTTGGGAAGTGCTTTCTAGAAAATCAGGAACCACGGAGAATTTTAAGAGAAATCATTTCAAATAATTTCATTCTTAAAGTTTACTGTGTTCCTGGGAAAATGTATTTAAATTTATATGAAGCACTATTTTTTTTGTGGAATATACCTTACAATCTAATAAGAATTTTTCATTGTTAAAAAGTATTTTGCTAAAAATTCCTATCAAAAATAATTTCAAACAAAACTTTAGTATCTCATTCCAGCGACTTGTTCAATTTAAAGGCTACCTTTCTTAATTTAAAAAATGTTTAGTTTTATGAGTGTTGTTAGACAATTAAGGAAAATACAAGTCAATTTTATTCTAATTATTTGACTTTCTATAAAACGAACGCAAAAAAGTTAGGATTAACTAACAAATTGTTACAATATACAATAAATAAAATGTTTTTTTAACACCATTAAATTTAATAGTGTAATTATTTACCTTATGTTGTGGTGGAATAGGACTAATTTATTCAAGGCCACTCAAAATATACTGCCAACCAGTTCCCGCATACTTAAACTATACTAGAAACTAGTTCATTCACCGCCTGACTGCCAACTCGGTCCAAAGAAAACTTCAAAGGTCGGTATTGCCACACAACGGCGACACGGTCCCACTGACACTCACAATAGAAAATAAAGCGTTTTCTTTTGGTTTAAAAAAGAAATTTCGCAGGTAAAAGCGCAGTCTCGCGGCCAGAAATATGCAAACTCGACGACTCGTAGTGCCGTGCAACCAGAGTGCTTGAGATTCGGACAAATGCCGCGTGATATCAGTGCCCATTGTGCGGTTTTGCCAGAGTAGTATACAATCCAACCCACGAAAATTTTCACCCGTTCTCGGGGACGCATGAAAAATGGCGGCGTCCTCAGCTGCGATTCCGACTTCAATTCCAATTCCGGCGGAGGCGATATCGGAGGAGTGCAAGGACGACGACGCCCTGACCTCCACGCTGCACACGTGCGCCAACGACCCGGACTTCGCGGTGATCTGCGCCTTCCTGCAGAAATTCGCCAAGGATTTGGGCCTGAGCCTGCCGAGTTTCAAGCAGTTGCAGGAGTGGTTTACCAACAACAACGAAGGTGGGCAACTTGTGGGGGCGGGGCTGTGCTAAATTAAGTTATGTCAGGTGGAATTATTGGGGCAACACTACGGAAATACTGTTTTTAAATGGGTCTACGATTGGGTCGAAGAGAGCGCTCGTATTCGTGCTTGTCAAAGAGAGTAATCGAAAAGAGCAGCAGATTTTTTGTTTGTGTACAACACAAGCGCCATCAACAAAAACAAATACGTGAAAGATGTAAATATTTTTTGTTGTTGTTGAATACTAACTGGTTTTGATAGGTATTAAACTATTATTATTTTTGAACTGATATTTTAGTGCAATAGTTTAAATATATATTTTTTTATATGCCATGCGTGTACAAAATACATTTTCAATTAAATTAAATGATATTCGAAATTACAAAAGGAGTAACAGCTTCATTCCATAAACACATACATTACATGTTGGCAATGGGGACCTTAAACCCACTTTTATTTAAAGCAAACTAAGATATTAGTAAAAATAAGTCAAATCCTTACGAATAATAATAACTTATCCTTGCAGTTCCCGAGCTAAAGGACTTGCATATAAAGCTGCTGCGAAAGACCCGTAAGACGGTTCATGAGAAAAACTGGGAGTCGGCCCTTAGCAAATTCTGCTTTGGCTATTCGGTCCAAGACGCCTGGGAGGTCGAGCGTTTTGGTTACAAGAACTCCAGCCTGAAGGTCAAGCTACGAATATTTCGGGTAAGAGACGAAATCGCCATCGTCTGAGGCAGTACTAAAGTTCCTTTTATCCCCCCAGGAACTCCTCGAAAGTCAGTTCGAGCGCAATGCCAAGTTCCGGGCCCACATCCTGACCTTGAATGCGGACACCCTTCGCTCGGAGCCAATTGGACGGGATAGGTTGGGCCATGCCTACTGGCTAACCCAAGATGCCGACTGCAACCTGCGCATCTACCAGGAGCATCTGGACGAGGAAATCTGGCAGGTGGTGGCCACGAACCGGGAAGAGTTCGTCAACCTCATTGCCAGGCTGCGTGGAAATGAGGTAGTGCTGCCTTCGAAAGACATAGGCGAGGCCGACGAGGACACCAGCAGCAGCAACAGCTGTCCCGCCAAACCGCCGCCTCCGGAGGAAAAGGAAGAAGAAGAAGATGAAGGGGAAGGAGGAGATGGAGAAGGAGTGGGTGCTGGAGAAAGAGAGAAAGATGAGGTAGAGCCCGTAAAAACGGTGCCCAATCTGAAGATTAAACTGCGTTCTCCCGAGCAGGAGGAGCAAAAGTCTAAGAGGGTAAAGGTGCGTATGCAACAAACCAAACTATGAAGCAGATATTAGATTTCAATTCTCGTTTTTTTTTAGCCACTGCTCATCAGCCAGGCCAAGCTTGGAGGCAGCGCATCACCGTGCTTAGCCAAAAAGCGTTCCATCGACGACGTGGACAGCAGCCCCACAGCCTCCCAGGAGGAGCAGCAGAAGAAGCACCGGCCCACACTACTTGATACCAAGCGCATCAAAAAGCCCAGTCGCTATGAGAGCACTAAAGACGAAAACGATGGAGAGTCCGGTGAGGAGGAGGAGGAAGAAGAGGACGAGGAGGATTCTGAACTGGACGAGGGAGAGGAGGAGGAGGACATCGACAGTGCGGCGGCGGATATCGAAGAAGACGACGACGAAGAAGAAGTAGGCGAGGCGATTGAGGATCCAGCGATAGAGGTGCGGGGCCAAGGATCAGGCCGCGACTGTGAGGCTATTCCCCCCACTTACATGGGCGATTATCTGGATAACTTCGATTTCGGTCATGAACTGGAGCTCAGTGAAGCCATCTCGGATCCAGTGCTCCTTGTGGTCGGTCATGGATGGGGAACTGATTGTCTCGTGGGTAATGGCAAAAACGAGGCTACCGTGGACGAGACGACTGTGGATACATCGGAGCCGAAGGCCACTTTTTTCTTTGGAGAACCGGGATGCCTCAAGCTGAGTCCCATGAAGCAAACACCAAAGCCAGAGGCCAGGCGTAGCATTTTCGACAGCTTGGGCGAAGAGAAAACAAATGGAGAGACCGAAAAGTGCGCGGAGGACGATCCGCCACGAAATGGTAGCGAACTCAAGGAGACTGAAGCGGGTGCTGAAGCCACAGCCTCTGTTGCTCCTAGTGAAGAGACTTACAAAAGCCAAGAAGCTAAAGAAATAAAAATCTCAGAAGAGCAAATAAAAGAGAATGAGTCCGAGCCAGTGGATAAGTCGGATTCGCAGGAATTCAACATAAAGTTGATAGAAACGAATGATAAAATCTCCAACGTACATGAAGCAATAAAAGAAGGAGTGACGAATACGAAAGAAGAATGTTCAGACACGAAAACTCAATCAGATAAAGACGAACAATCCTTATTAAGAGATAATGATGTACGCCTAGTTGCAGAAACAAAAGAAAATGCTAAGGACTGCATAAACGAAGAAGGTATTAAGGAAAATGGTCCAGTTCAAAAAGAAAATGAATTTTCCAAAGAGGACAAACCGTCGATAACTAATCTGCAGAACTCTAATACAGATATTGATACGGCTACAATATGCAATGACAAAATATCTAGTGAAGCAGAAACACCTAAACCTAGCCAAAATGAAATGAGAACAAAAACTGAACCGGAAACGACAATAACAACAAGGGCTAAGGAATCCACGTCAAGCTTATCCACAGGTGAAGTGGAAATAGAAACAGCTAAAAGCGAGAATAAATCGAAATCTTTAATTAATCATCCTGTAAGCCAAATCGATGTATACGAAACAAAAGTTAAAAACGTTGAAATTGTGCCAGAAACGATTGCGAATGACAATAAACCCTCCGATCTAAATAAAGAACGGATTAGATCTAGTAAAGATGCGACCTCAATCTGTCTCGAGACTGTTCAAAATACTAATTCCTCACCCGCAGAAGATACGAAAACGAAAAAAGTGCAAAACGAAATGCCGAGTACTTCTAATGCCCTGATTCCCGAAGAAAAGTCGAAGGAGAACGATAAGAAACCCAAGGCGGATGGAGAGCCACTCCTAGTCGGGAAAACAATTTCAGTACCTAAGCCTTCTATGTTACTAAATCGCAAGAGACGGCTTAACGAATCTCAGCCCGCTCTTAGGAACTCGACCTCCGAAAGCGAAGTGCAGGAAGAGGAGCCGCAGGATGAAGATCTTACACTGGATGATCTGGATGTGGGGGGAAAGCGAATTAAGATGAGACCGAAGACCACCAACGTGGAGGCTAGACGGAAGGTGGAGGCTCAAAAGACGCAAGTCGAGGAAACTACCTCCTCCAGCGGAGAGGAGGATCCGCGCAGCCGGCGTAAGATTATACCTACAGTCAGTAAACAAAAACCTACTCTAGAAGAAATTATCGAAAAGAAGATAAAGAAAACAATGGAGAAGGAGTTGCCCGAGAACAATTTGCTGAAGCAATCGCCTGAAAAGGTTGCAGAGAAGGCTCTGCAAACGCCTGAAAAGGTCGCCGAGAAGGCTCTGCAACCGCCACAGCCAGTCACAGAAGCTTCACCTCCCACCAGCTCCTTCAGTCCGCCAAAGAAGTCGCCGGTAACCAAGCCACTAAAGAAGAATCTTCTAACTCAACTGCGGCAGGAGGAAAGCGAAGAGGAAGCCATTCCCAGAAAGCGAACGAACAGTGAGACCCTTTTGCCTGCCGTTGCAGTTCCCAATCCTTCTCTTGTCCACCCGGAGGAACGTCATCGCAAGCGTCGTAGCAGCGAAGATGCCAAAGAGTCCTTTTCCAAAGAATCCTCGCCCAGTGAACCACAGTCCTCCGCCGTCAGCGAGAAGGTAAAGCGCAACAACGAGCAGGACATTGAGGAGGAGAATGAGGATCCCCTTGCATTGCCAGTCCAGGATTCGTCGCCTCCTGTGAAGGAGGAGGGGTCTCCACCGGAGGGATCTGCCCGTCGTTCTGGTCGGCGAGGTGGTGCTGCTGTCGTTTACTCCGAGCTTCCTCAGCCCAAAAGGACTCGCGGTGGAGCCAGAGAAAAAATCCAGGCAGAAGTGAAAGAGGAGGCAAAGCAGGAATCCGAAGATGACGAGGAAACTCCTAAAATTTTAGGCAAACCTAAATCGGAGATCAAAGAGGACACAGTCAAGGAGAAACCAGGAAAAGAGGAAAAACATGAGGAGGATGTCGTCAAGGAGGAACCTAAAGAGGAGCCGAAGGCAAAGGTGGGCCGAGGACGTGGGCCGCGTAAAAAGCGTGAAGTGGACACCACCAATATCATCGAGACCAACGACTCGGAGACACCGGTCCGCCAATCTCGTCGCATTGCCCAGCAAAAGATCAAAGAGGAGGCGGAGCGTCGAAAGCAAGAAGAGGTGGCACTACGCACCATGAAACAGGAGCTTAAGAAAAAGAAGAAGGCCGAGAAGGAGGCAGATCCTACAGTGCTAGAGCCTTCTGGAGAGGAATCAGAGTCAGAGGCCAGCGAGGCGGAGGAGGAGGCTCGCAGTAAAAAGAAAAAGAAGTGTCCTGGCAAGGATGGCGCCTGGTCCTCAGACTCAGAAGAGCAGCCAGAAAGCGAGGAGGAAGAGGAGGAGCCCCCGCACTATGAAACGGATCCGGGCTCGCCGCTCTTCCGCTCCGACCACGAGTTTTCGCCGGAATCCGAGCTGGAAGACGAGTCCCAGGTGGTGCCCATGAAGCGGGCACGCACTGTGCGCAAGGAGAACGCCGAAGACCAAGAGGAGGTAAAGAAAATAATTTGGTTGAAAACAAGGAAACTTTACCCTTGCGATGGTTATCATAATTTTATTCAGAAATTTGCCATGCAGGGACCTCGAATTAATTTAAGAACTCGGTTTTTCCAAATTAGAAAACAAGAATAATTTTTTCCATTACTTGCCCTCGAATTTAGCAAGCAAAAAACATGTTTTTGGTGCCTCGGACAGACAGGTGGTCTTATCCATTCGTCTGTTTATGCTTATCAATAAACTGCATATATTCTTTATAGGATCATAATCTCATTATTTATCCAACAGAAAGTACAAATCCTACACCAAATTCTTACAGATGCCTCTTTCCTAATTTTACCTTTATAATAATCGATTTTTAATAAGATTTTTAATTGTGCTTAAAATACATATACTTAATTAAATTACCACGAACTAAATATATTATTTATATTTAAACAGGAGGATGCGGAGGAGGCTTGTCAGAAGTGCGGCAAGTCCGACCATCCCGAGTGGATCTTGCTCTGCGACTCACCCGCCTGCAACAAAGGCTACCACTGCTCCTGCCTCTCACCTGTGCTCTTTTACATCCCCGAGGGCGACTGGCACTGCCCTCCCTGTCAGCAGGAGCAGCTCATAGCAGCCCTGGAACGGCAGCTGCATCAGTTCGACACATTGGTGGCCCAGAAGCAACAGGAACGGATCCTCGCTGAAGAGCAGGCGGAGCTGGAGCGACAGGAGCTGGAAGCAGCTACACTGGCGGCGAAGAACGATAACACCAAGAAAGAAAAGGACGAGGACCAAGACGACAAGGATGACGAGACGGTCGGCAAGGCGGAAAAGGTGAAGAGGCGCCGCGGAGATGGGCGCAGTAACCGGCGCGCTGCCAAGCGAGGCACCAGACGCCGCCGTGGAAACGAGTCCGACTCCAGTAATGGAAAGTCTCTGGGCAGTGGTTCCAGATCCGGCTCTGGATCGAGTTCCGGCTCGAGCAGCGACAACAGCAGCAGCTTCTCGGACTCGGACGATGAACCCATTTACAAGTTGCGCAAGCGACGGCAGATCAATGTGAGCTACCGGCTCAACGAGTATGACGACCTTATCAATTCGGCCTTAAAAAAAGAGATGGACGAGGTCGCCGGTGCAGGAAACCTGGGCCGGGGCAAGGACATATCTACAATTATAGAGGCGGACAAAGAGAAGACGCGACGCGAAGATCTGCCGGGAGAGGAGGATGTGCCTGAAAAGGAGGACATAGAAAAGGATAAACAAAAGGACAAATCTAGCGGCAGTAGTTCGTCATCGTCCGAGGACGAAATACCACTCAAGCGCAGCAACAAGTTTAAGCAACCGCCTGCAAAGAAGAAGCCTCGTAAGCTAACGACCTTGGATGTGAGCAGCGAGGAAGATCATGGCAGCGACGAGGACTTTAAAACGTCCAGCTACTCGGACGAGGACACCTCACAGTCTGGATCCGGAGACTCCGACTCGAGCTTGGAGGTGTACAGGCGACCCGGTCGAGGGAAAAAGCAGAGGAAGGCTGCCAGGAGAGCGGCGCGTGAGAGGCGAAAGGATCGCAAGTTTGTGGTAGAAGAGAGCGACGAAAGTGAAGAGGAGGATCAGAAGCGAAGGACTGCAAAGACAAAGAAAAAGAAGAAAGAAGATTCGGACTACACGGAAACCGAAACGGAAGACGACGACGATAATGAGTTGTCCGAAAACGTGGACAGTGCCGATTTGTGCGACGACACCACTTCCGAAAGCGATGATGGCAACTGGAATCCTTCATCTAAGAAGAAGAAGGCGGCAGCCGCCAAGAAGTCGAGTTCTGCGGCTGGCATCGCCAGGAAGTCTCCCAAACTAAAGAAGCCAGCCCCCCAGGCTGCGAAGAAGGTCAAGCGCCTGGAGTACTCCGACGACGACATCAGCGAAAGCGATCCGGAAGAGGAGGAGGATGAAGATGATGAGGGTCAAGAAGGAACGAACATGTCGGGAAAAGGATCCGGCAAGCAGCCCCGTTCTCAGCCCCTCAAATCCAGCGGATCCGTGTCGCAATCAGGCAAGGGAAAAGGAAAAGGCAAGGCCAAGAAGAAAAAGCCTGCCTCCTCCGAGGAAGAAGACGGCGCCGCCTCCGACGATCGCACTCGCACCCGTGGACGTCGGTACGCTTACATCGAGGACGGTAAGTACTAAATTGGTTGCAATATTTTTTGATAAATATATAAAATAACATTGTTATTAAAAAACAATGAATTTACATATGTGCTTAGACGTAAAAACAGCCCTCCTTTTACTGATTTTCCACCATACCCTGAACTAAGCCAATTTTTAATTATTAATTTTATCCGTTGATGTAGACGACGACAGCTCTGATGGCGGCATCAAGCCAGGCGTCCATCGGCCCGACACGCCGCCCGAGGAGCGTCAGAAGTTCATCCAGCGGCAGGAGGAGATCAAGCGTATGCTGGCTGAGAAAAATGCCGAAGGAGCCAAGCTGGCGGCCACGCCACGACTTACACCCATCAAATCGGGAGCCCCTGTGCCTGAGAAGCGCACACCTGGCAAGGCGGCCAGCGGTGATTCGCTTTCCACGGTGCCGCTCTCAGTGATTCGGCAGGCCAAGGTGCTGGACATCGATTACCTGCAGCGCAAGGGGGAGACTATTGGCGATCTGGACGAAGTAGACGAGTCGGAGCTGGACGACGCAGAGCTCCCCGACGACTTGCCCGAGGACATGGAGGACGCAATTGCACGCATGGTGGAGGAAGAAGAGCAGTTCAGCGCAGCCGTGGCAGCCCGGGAGTTGCCTGGGGCAGAGGAGGTCCTGCGCACCACGCCCTCCAAGTCCCGCCAATCTAGCAAGGTGTCGACCGAGGCTCCAGCTCCATCATCAGCTCCCAGTGCGTCTGGCTTGCAGGAGCCACATCGCAAGCGACTCCCCATGCCCACCATGCATCCGCCGCTTCTGCGACACCAGTTCCCGCTCTCTTCTGGCTCGGTGCATCCCCCCGCATCGCTGCTCCCTCCCCACCCACCGCATGGTATGCATCCCATGCTCCAGCGCCATCTGTCGCAGACTGTCGCCTCACCACAGGCCATGCACCTGCTGCAAAACGCCCTCTCCGCTCCTCTTGGCCAGCCACTGGGACACCCCAATTATGCGACAGGACCCGGATCTGCCCAGCACCTACCTCTGGTCATGTCCATGCCGCCGGCTGCGGCAGCTGCACATCGTATGCAATCGGCGGCTGCCTCGGCTGCAGTCCGTCCACCCGAGACAGCGGCGGGGAATCTGGCGGCCGATTCCAAGCCAAGGGGCAGGCGGAAAAAGGTAACACCCCTCAGAGATCAGTTGCAGAAGCAACAGACGGCGGCGGCTGTTACGGCGGCTACTTCCTCAACAGCTCCGGGCCCAAACCCTTCGGAAAAGGTCAAGGGGCAGCCGCTCTTTAAGCCGCACGAGGATGCCGTCGCCAGCGCTCCCACTCCGCAAGCATCTGTGATCACGCGGATCCCGGCGCACCTGCCCCTGCCTCATGGACGAGGTCATGGACCGCTCGGCGTCATGTATCCCAGCAGTGCGGAACTGGCCCGATTCTACGGCCAAGTAGCTAGCCAGCAGCCTGGTCCCGCGATCACTGGTTCCCGTTCCCCCTCGTCGTCATCAGGACCTCCTAGACACCTCTTGCGACCGCAGTTGCCTCCCGGTCTGCCACCGCCCCACGCATCCTTGCGACCCACTTATGGACCGCCGCCGCCACTACGGGGATCTGGCCCGCCCACATCCACGGCAAGCGGTGGCGCGAACAACTCAAGGCCGCCTTACCTCCATGGGGCGGAGCATCACGGCGGACCCACTGGCCCGCCCATGGGAGCAGTTTTTGGTTCCGGACCGCCACCAGCGAGGCACGCGTCGCCTCATTTGAACCCCTACAGGTGAGTCAAATTTATGTTAATGGTTAAATCCTTTTAACCCCCTGAGTTTCTTTAGAGCCCCACCCATGTATGGCAATCCCAACTTCTCGCCTCGTGTCGGGGGACCTCCAGGATCTGGAAGTATGCGACCAGGAGCCGTTGACTTTGCGCCCGGACCACGTAAGCACCGTAGTGAAATATTTTTTAAGAGTTAGCAAGCTTTTAATTGTAATGAATTAAAAATTGCATAGAATTGTTACTCGATATAGGTACAAAGAATAAGTATTTGAAATCCTGTCTATATGCACCATGTATAATTTCTGTCTGAAGTTTGCAAATGCCGGAAGGTAGACTATAACTGTGTCCGTCCTTTCGTCTCTCAGTTTTAAAGCTATGTATGTAACTTACCCAAAAGGGTTCTTCTGTTGATCAGTATTACGAAGCTTTTTTGAATTTCGCACGCAGATTGAAAATTCTGTGCTACCCAAATTGTTAAAGGTTATTTATTTAAAATATCTCCCTGGATATACATATAAGAATATCTGAATTTTGATCATTATTAAGAATGTTACCATAAATGGGATTACCCACCTGCGAAAAGTGAAAAGTGAACAATATTGGTCAACATTTTAACTCGTTAAAGGAATAACATTCGAATAATGCTGATCACCATCGAAAGCAGAGTCGATAATTTCGGAATAAAGAACGCAGGAGTAGGGATACAAAATATAATTGTAATGTGATTTTTTCTAGGTTTAGTTTTTGTCGAACCCTTTATGTATATTAATTTAAACAGTGTAGTTAGCGATATCAGCTCAAAAGTGTATTAGTCCTAAGTCATATAGTCATATATACAGTGGGTTAAATTTAAATATCTTTTTGCAAATGTTTCAGGTGGATATCCCCCATACGGCTACTATCCTCCTCCTCCGCCGCTGACCACACCTTCTGCCCATACAGCACCTAGTTCGGTTATCGTAAGTGCTCCGCCAACAGTGACGCCAACGAATCATTCGGTCTCCGCTCTGACGCATGGAAAGAATTTGGTTCCAGTACCGCCGACGCAGTCTGTGGGACCACCACCCGCCGCAGCCCCTCCACCAGCAATCCCCGGCGAAGCCCTCAGCCACAAGCCACCAGTGGCCTCTGTGATAACCAGCAAAAAGCTGACGACTTTGGAGGCGTACCCTACACGAAAATCTCCTATTGTTGTTGTGGGTGAGGTACCAGGTCCGGCCGAATCCACGAATTCCCCGGCTCCCATTGCCGAGGATGACTCGGGATCAGCTCATGAAACAAGAGCACCGCCGTCTGCAACGGGAGCAGCTGTTGTGGGCGAGTTCAGTGGTTTGGTAAGCTACTTTAGCTCGCAACAAGATGATTATGACACATAACAAACGCCGCCGGGCGCATAAGGAAAATTTGTATATATAGCTTATTGTCATATGTAAGATGGCTGCAATCGATTTGTAGAGTTAAAAAAGGAAGTACGTTTTAGAAGTAAACAGCAATAATTTATCCCTAAAGGCTTTGTGTTTAAGTCAATCTAGACCTTTATTACAAAATCCTCCAATGATGTTGGAAACCTGAAATAAACTCTGTAAAAAGTTGTCCAAAGATACTTTTGTTTGTCGCGATGGCGATCACTATATATTTTATATAAATTAATTACAAAATTTTGAATTTGTATGTTCGTTTAGATTGGGCTATCACTTCCAACCTATTAACATTTAATTCAGTTCCCGTTCTGTGCTCTTTTAGTTTAGCTAAAGCAAACATCAACTACGCCTAGTATTTTAAATTTAGCTGTATATTTTCCGAGCTCTAACAAAGTAAGCAAGAGTTAAATATGATACATACCATTAAAATTATATGAATATTAAAGAAACTAATGATTATAAAAGAATATAGTCAATAAATATACATTAACTCAGTGGGAATGCTTATTTGCATTGACATGTACACAAATTATAGTTTGAGTTAATTACATAACTAAGCAATTGAAACGATAATGCAGTGCATAATTCAAAAATTAACCTTACGTAACCATTATAACATAACACAAATGGAATATTAAAATCAAAGATGGACAAAAACTGAATGTTCATAATAAAACTATTTATCATTAGTTGAAAATACAAAAATCCAACTATCTTGTCATTCTACATGAAAAGAAATTAGAAAACTTGAGTTTGGGGCGCTGCATGGAGGAAAAATATTACAAAATGTTAAGCCAATCAAAAACCTTATGAAACCATAAAAACGTTAGTTCATGAATATTTTCAAATACCATTTTGAATGGAAATTTGCATTCTTTAAAATTTCTATATTAAATCATCACTAGTTTTCTGTTTTGAAAGTTTATAGTCACCACAAACTTATTAAACTCGAGGACCTAAACTTATGAAAGGGTTATCGGCGATAAAATTTGCAACTCTTAAGAGATTTCTCTCGCATATATATATATATATGTTATACGTGTGTCGAGTGGTCTTAACGATGGCCTACACCCGAGGTCACCTTTGTATAATCCGCCTTGTTGTTGGGCCGATTTGGCCAACTCTTGCGCGAACTCGCTGATCTCGTCTCTTTCACCTGGTTTTATGGGCTGAATTAAAATGTGCAAAGCGGTTGGCGAAATCGCGACACACTGGATTGAGCCCCTCGCCCGATCGATCCATTTGCAATTAACAACGCTTGTGTTTACATTTTAATATTTTTATGTTTATTTATGGCTAAAATCTCAACGGGAACTTTGCGTAACAACAAATATTCAACAACAATGGGCGACGTCGCTTGTTAATTTAACAAGCTGTCACCGCGCGAATGGCCCTGGCGTTCTTTGGAGTCCACCTGCTGCCCTTTTAGAAGCGGAAGCGCTTAGCGGGCACGTTGTACTGGTAGCCCGACTCCACGGGAGCTGGAGCTGGGGCAGAGTAAACAGGAGCGGGAGCAGGGGCGGAGTAGACCGGAGCGGGCGCTGGAGCCGAGTAGACTGGAGCTGGGGCAGGGATGTCCTGCACGGGGGGCAGGTACTCGGGAACGGGAGCAGGGGCGGAGTAAACGGGAGCGGGCGCAGGGGCGGAGTAAACTGGAGCTGGTGCAGGAGCGGAGTAAACTGGAGCGGGCGCAGGAGCGGAGTAAACTGGAGCTGGAGCAGGAGCCGAGTACACAGGGGCTGGAGCAGGGATGTCCTGGACGGGGGGCAGGTACTCAGGAACTGGAGCAGGGGCAGAGTAGACAGGAGCAGGCGCAGGAGCGGAGTAAACTGGAGCGGGTGCAGGAGCGGAGTAAACTGGAGCTGGTGCGGGAGCGGAGTAAACTGGAGCGGGTGCAGGGATGTCCTGGACGGGGGGCAGGTACTCCGGGACTGGAGCAGGAGCAGAGTAAACTGGTGCGGGCGCAGGAGCGGAGTAGACTGGAGCTGGAGCCGGAGCCGAGTAGACTGGAGCTGGCGCCGGGATGTCCTGGACAGGGGGCAGGTACTCGGGAACGGGAGCAGGGGCGGAGTAAACGGGAGCGGGTGCTGGTGCGGAATAGACTGGTGCGGGGGCTGGTGCGGAGTAGATCGGAGCAGGAGCCGGAGCAGAGTACACCGGAGCTGGGGCGGGCGCAGAGATGAACTCCTGGGCGGGGGGGCAAGTAGGCCGGAGCCGGGGCCGAGGGGATGTTGAAGGTCGGCGTGGGCTTGTTGTAGCTGTAGCCGCTGCCGCTGCCGCTGCCACCGCCCAGGTTGAGGTGGGACACATCGGCGGAGGCCACGGCGATGGCGCACACAGCGAAGACGAAAAGTTTCTGGAAGAGCGGAAGTCGATGAGCGACATTTTCGAGGGCTGGCCAAGGTGAGCGGTTGACCTTGGTCGGCGGCTATCTTGATCGGGTACTCACCATTGTTGTTGATTTGCTGGATGGCTTTTAAAGTTCGTTGGATTTGCTTTGGTAAGCTCTGGTCGTGAGACGCTGAAGCTGAATGATGACCATTGCCAGATGGGCCGGCACTTTTATACCGAAAGCCAGGCTCGGATCGGTCTGGGCCAAAGAAGACCGGGCCAGCTGTTTACCTGTCTTCTCGTCTTCGGTGAGGGTCTCGTCTTGCGCTTCTTTTTGTCAAAGAAAAGCCAGTCGGTTATGAAGAGAGTAAAGCAGTGATCATTAACCCTGCGATGGGCGTTGGGCGTTTTATTGAGGCTTACGTTTATAAGGTCTTTGCTGAAACAATGTTGAGCTCACGAAAAAAAAATTTATTTTTACTATCTCATATGTATATGTAATCTGTTTTAAGTTTTTAATATACAATTGTATGGTTCTTAACAGCATGGATATTTTCTCATATTTTATAATTGAATTTATAAGCATCATTTTTGAGAACATGTGACATATTATATTTTTTATCAAATCATATTCAGATCTCTTTTTTATTGTTTTACTCAATTGCGGGACACTCGACTATAGTGTTCTTACTTGTTTAAAATAAGTTTGTTGCTTCTGCTTAAAAATTAAACTTAAACTATTGGTCCTAAAAAGTGAGAGTATATATACATAGTTTGAACCATGGACTATTATTATTTAAGTTATAATAATTTTTTTGTTTATATTTTTGTTTAATATCTTTATTTCTAAAGATCCCAAAAAGAGCAGGTACTCCATCCTTGGGGAAAAACAAGTAATATAAATTAATGACTACATACATACATATATGGTACCAAATTGTATTTAAGTTTCGAATATTGTCGAAATTGCCAACCCAGAAAAGGTGATTGGCTTACATTATCACTAAATAGGCTTTTCTTATGGCTTACAAAATTAATTCCAGTATTTCAAAAACTGTAGAGCATTGACATCTAAAGGTAAATGGTACTTGATTTTCCACTGATTTTTTTAAATCACACTTGGCAGATAAAGAGTGCTCTGTACTGTCACTTAAAATTAACTTTCCAAAGGCCATCTAATGTTATTTCGTCTCTACATTTAAGCAACTTAAAATCTGGATTCAGAGTAGGTTCAAGTTAAGTGTTTAATTGTACAATTCCCAGAAACAGGGAATTCATAAATTCAAGATCAAGAGTTACCCCACATCCTACAAGCGAATAGCTAGCTGAAAAAATTAAAAAAAATTAAGATTTTAATCTCAAGTAGATGACCGCTGTTAATTGCTTGTCAACCAAAACATATTTATGTGTTAATTCGACATTTATTTTTTTTAAATAGGAATCATTTTGATTGTTGTGTGAATGCACAGGTGCACTAAACACTGCCCAGGAAGGGGTTAAGGCCGTGGCTGTTCGCCGGCAGGCGCTCATCGTTATCGGAAGATTTGGATGGGCTTGGCAATGTCAATAGGGCAGACTGGCCGCGAGGCACAACTGAACGCTCGTCCACGGAACACACCACTCATTCTCATTTGCATGCGAGGCAGCGGGACAGATTTAAGCAGTGCTTTAAGGGCCTCCGCCAGTTAATGTCAAAGGTCAACTGATCTACGCTCGCTGCTGCAGTTAGCGGAAATTAATTTTGTTTGGCTATTAGCCAGTGCTAATGGCCAAACTACATGCTTGACCAAGCGCGGCTCAAGGATTTTGGCTTGGCTTAAGCCCCAGTGGACTTGTAACTAATGAAATCGAAAAACCCGAGCAGTTTTAGCTGCTGGTGGGCGTATGCAGTGGCTTCATTAACTCGAATTAATTAATTCGGGTATACGTATACGCGATCTACAGGTCGTGTGGAGTTTAAGTGTCTTTAATAGGGCCACATTAACCATAATAATTTAATTTGGCGCACTCTTCGCATTTCGTTGGGTTATTCACCAGTTTTTTGCCCAATCGTGAGGTGGCACTTTTCCCACTCTTTGATATCTCTTTTTGATGGGTCGTGTATCACAGCCATTTAACCAGAGCGAAAACTGAAAAAAATTGACGATTGGCTATTTATTTTATTCTAATATAAAAAAATAAAATAATACAAAAATAGGACTACCATAATAAAATTATTAAATATTTGTTATTTTGACATGCCAAAAACTTTATTGATTTTTGGTTAAAACATATTGATTTGTCAGAGATATGATAATTTTTTTTCTTTGTGTACGACCTTCAGACATTTCATGCGTGCGCTTTGTTGGTTGTTGTTTAAACTTTAAACTAATCAAAGCTCCACTGCATATTGGTTAATTTTTAATGCATGAATGCAGCATCTGAAAGCATATTTCACTTAAAAGAAATCTATTCATGAGGTATAGCGAATTTGCTTAGCCTACTTTAAACTAATTTTGTACGAAAAAGAAGAAGCAGATGGCCAGCAGAAAAGGCGTAATCCGTTTTAATTATGCCATTTAAAAAAATTCACTCAGCAACAAATACCCTATTCACCAAAAATGGTCTGGCTTGCATAAAAATGTATTTTTGTCGATACTTTTTGCCCCAGGTCTCTTTTAATTAATCAATTAGCTAACCACATTTAACAAAAAATAAAAATAAAATATCCAATTTATGCACACCAAACGCACGCCATTTTCAGTTGTTGTATACAAAGAATGATTTTTTTATCTAAAAATGATTTAAAATATAAAATAACATATGGACAGCAGGCTCTTGAATTAGCATATCTGCGCAATATATCATTTTAAATGTTGCCCAATAAATATTTTAAATTCAGTGGCCGAGCGAAGCTTGATATTTTTGACTCTAATTAGTTGAGTCTACCAAAAACTTAAACTGAGCTTAAACGAGAGCTTTTGGCCAAACAAAGCTGCCAAGCTGAACAGCAGCCAATAAATCTAAACGGTTAAATTTAAATGAAAACATTTAGTTTTTTAATATACATAGTTACCAAATTTTGTTGGACTATTGGGTTGGGTTTTGGTGCTGATCAAAAATATATATACCAACCTGTAACAAAATATGACATTACTATATTACTTGCATTTTTATTTACTTAAAAAAAATAATGAATATTTTTATTATCTTAGATTTTAAAGATTGGGACCTAAGAAGCCAAATTGAGAAATTGCAGTCCAACCACCCCACTAAATGATTTGTCCTACCATCGATCCCCTCTGAAAATGTGAATCAGATGATTTTCCTTCGAAAAGACGAGATGCTTAAGTCATCCGGGAGCAACTGAAACGAAAATTGGACCTGGGCAGGGACCAAAAATGATAATTGAACTTCCAAACTGTGCTGTTGGGAGCAATACTTCCAAAGAAATGGAAGCGATCTATTATCAGAATAAAAATGATCCACACAATCCCGTCGTCGAACCAACCAATCAGATTATTATCGATTCCGGGAAAAACTTCAGAATAATATCAGAAATACGTACTGCCTTTGAACATCAGGAATTTTGAAGTGCCATGTTCCTAGTATTATTTCAAGCATTCGATTGAGAGTTTCATGATGGTCTTAAGTTACTCATAAGTTACTTGAGTCGTACTGCTACAACAAAATCTTTGCATAACATCCAACGACTATATTATTGAAGCTGGAGTTCCAAAAGCCACGTCCTGGGGCCAACTCTAATTATCCTATACTGGATACCATCTGGACTTATGGGGAAACGCGAGGAGCAGCAACATCGAAAACATAGAGCGCGCACAATCCAAAATCCTGCATCCAATCACTAGGCATGTTGGGAAAACGGGAAAACATTGACATTCCACCGGTAAAAGATACAATATCTAAGCAGAAATCACCCTACTATAGTAAACTTATTTTGCACCAAATCATCTCGCAATAGGAAACAGAATTCAAACGGCTTGACTATTAAATAGGTTTTTATACTAAGATTTAATACACTGACTTACAAGCTTCATTGATTTACTCATCGATATATAGAATATTCAATTTTTGAAACAGCAGAAAAACTTACATATAAACTTTGCTTTCTTATTCATGTATTTCATGTTCCCCAACATTGTAAAGTTAAGACTTAGCTACCACATTCCTCGCCCTTAATTGAGAAAACTTCCCTGTGTAGATGGGTGTTCTCCAATTATTTTTTCCAATATAATGTTGAAATAAGTTTAATAAAATTTATCGCTAATAATCTTTATATGGACTTGACTCTTTAAGTTTTTTTGATGATTCTTTCTGCCAACTTTGGAAACACTTAAATATATGGGGAAAAAGCCAAAAGCCAAAGAATTCCGTGCGGTATAAAGAGCTACTGAGCTTCAGCAAGTTGAACAAGAAAGGAAACAAACTTCGGCAAGCCGAAGTTTATATATCCCTGCAGTTATTATAAACGTTCCCATGAACGTCGAGATCTTGAAAATTTTTTAATCTAGAGATTTGGGATTTAGCATGATGATTCTTCGTTTTCCTACGCAGCGCAAGTTTATGGCAAAATGTTGACACGTCCATTCTAACGCAAATCATCGTAGAGGCCATTTAATTTACCGACACAAAAAAAAAACCCACCGGTATAAGACACATTACGTGTTAATTATGATGTCACTATATATTTGCAAACTTGTTTCATTTATTTTAGAGAGCGGAAGAAGAGTAGTGTTTGCACTACAGTTCGACAGATGGCGCTTCCTAAAATTTGAGACCAAGTCTACTATTCCAATCGGAAAAGTTCGGAAGACAAATCAGATCAGATCGACCAAATTTTCCTTAACGTTTAAATTGATATGGTAATCTTTGTTGTAGGTCATTGTGAATTCGACAGCCGAAACATATACTCATCTTAAAAATAATTCAATTCTTATAAGAAGTAAAGGCGTAAAACGTGGAAAAAAACAAAAAATAACTTTTCGGCCCTTAAAACAAGTCCAGGCAGAGAATCCGTGTTATAGAGTCCAATCAAAATGCACAACTGTAGAGGCTGATTTTCAGAGTAAGCCCATGTAGACGGGCAGATTGTCGTGCAGTTTTGCGCAGTTTGTTGGATCCTCAATAATAATGTCCTGCAAACGGTGACAATATTACCGGGGCTGTCGAGTTGCATTCAATCGATTGGGCTGTAATTATTTATAAATAATATTTTTTGATAAATAACTATAATAGAAAAGTTTGACCATGCTTAAGATTTTCCAATTGTCTTTTAAGACACATGTAAGTTTTGAATATGGAACTGCACTGCAAGCATCGCCCCAGTAGAAATAGAATTTAAATCGATTTAAAATGAAGATATCAATTCTCGATGTTTAAAAGCTTTTTAAATACTTAAGAAAGTACGATCCTTATCAACTGTTCCGAAAATAAGTTTTTAAAAAAATCTCAATTATCAGAATAAGTGCATTGAAGGTCCTGAATATATGGATTATAAAAAGTCAACAGAATAACCGAGTTTCCCATTAAATACTTGTACGCCAAAACGTAATACTATTTTATAATTATATAAAATAATTTAGCTATTGAAAAAATTTTAATTTCATTGAATTAAATGTTATTTTTTTTTAATTCCTTGAAATAATAGTTAGTTTTGTTTTTGTAAGTATCTTCCAAAAAATGAGCTTTATTAAAAAATATTTTAAACAAAGGTTAAAGTAAAATTAATATTTTGTGAGAAAAAGGTAGAAAACGTTTGCCTTCTAACGGCTATTTTAAAACATGCGCTCAATAAATAAATGGCCAAGTTGGCAGTGTACTTCTATCGTTTCCGTGAATGGTACCAATTTGTCGTTATACACATACATGCACCAACCTTTTCGATTGCAGCGCTTCTTATATTAATATAACAACAAAAATCTATATAATTCAAAGCAAAACAAACAGCCTGCTTTAAATATGCGAAAGCCTTAGAGATGACCAATTACGCGATAATTTTTAATTATCAGTGATGCCAACTCGGTCCAATTACTTGAGCGCTCATTTCAAAATTATTGTTAGACATGAACATATGCATTTGTACTTTCACATGGAATCGTAAATTTTAAATATAACTTTTTGAAACATCCAATTCATATGAAAATGTGGAGGCAGTGAATGGCTTGGGACAACTTTAAAATTAACTGTTGGGAGAACACACAAATTTATTTTTAGTTTTTGAAACATTGATTTTTTTGCCAAGCACACCGGAAACATCGATGATTCTTCACTTCTATGAACTCCTTCTGAATAGCAAAAAAATTGAACATTAAAAAGGGTCTTTTTCAGCACAAAACATATTTTCATAACTGCGCATACCATAAAAATAAATTTTCGTATATTGCTGATATCTTACATTTTTACTTGGGACATTAATTAATTTTTTTTTATTTTTTATTTTTTTTTTTATTTATAAGTATTTTTTGCTTTAAATTGTAATTATTTACCGTTGTTTTGAAAATCTTTTCTATCCTAAAATAAAACAGACGAGTCATCTATACTTTTAATAAAAACTCTGTGCACAATCTTGACGTTTCGAACTTCTTTTTCACCAGCTGGTATAGTTCTTAATTTACATAATTACCATGACCAACCCTTTTAAATACAATTTGTATTTGCACTGTGTGGCTAGTGCACGTATTATGTTCTAGAATTTTTAAAACTTTTTCAAAATTCGGCAATATACTGTTCCTCGATGCATAAACACGATTTCGGAAACCTGTACAAAATATATATTTGTATATGCTTCTTTAAACAGGGATACATCGATTTAAGTGAGTGTTTAATAAATACATATCAAGTGCAGTTCAGCTACCTTTCAACAACTATCTTAGCTATATATTGATTCGAGAGCTGGCAGCACTGTTCTTCGTTGTCAGCTCTGTCAGGTGGCAACGTTTTAGCGGGCGTAGGGTGGCAACGTTCGTCAGCAAAACAAACATTTTGCTTTTTCATAGCGAGTGGGACGGTCGTGCTGCGCTGGGAGCGACTGTAAGTGGAAAAGAGTGGCCAGGTCGCGTTTTGCCCGCCGACAATTTCCGTGAAATAAATCTGTGAATAAAACCCCAAATTCTGAACCTATTCGTTGTCAGCGAGAACGGGACGGAAAACCAGCGCCGGAGTTTTCGTGGCGCTCCGTTTCGCTTGCACCGCAAAGGTCGTTCGTTGTGGGTGTGTGTGTGTGTGATGAGGAGGGGAGAGTGTGAAAATCCACGCGAAACGAAACAAAGCTCACAAAGGCGTTGATTAAATTTTAAAGCTGCATAAGCATAACCAAAGCTAATTTTGTTAATTCGCGTAAAGTAGAAGAATAACGAGTGACTGGAGCGCGCAATAAGATAAAATTGAAGGTTATTCTTTGTGCGTGTGAGGAGGCGCGAGTGTGCCATTGTAAACAAAAAAGCAAGTGCTGAGCGGGGGAGAGAAAGAGCAGAAGAGAGCGGGAGAGCGGAGGGAGAAAGAGCGCACGCTCACTCGCACGAAGAAAGCAGCGCACAAAGCGAACGCTGAAAATGTCAATAAACTCTGCGAAAGGTGAGGAAAAACGCAACAAGAGCGCCGCGGTCGTGTAAAATAAAAAAAAACCCAAGCGGACAAGCGAAGAAAGCCGTTTAAAGAGAGAGGCAAGTGCCGAGTGTGCGTGTGTGTGAGAGTGGGAGAGCAAGAGCAAGAGTGTGTGTTGGATCTGATTGGACAGTGTGTGCAGAAAAGTCTTTCTGGTTACGATTCGCTTGCAACAGTTTCCGCGTTCGCAGCTCCAACAAGTTTCGTTGTTTTTTCGCGGCTGCATTTTGTTTATTTTATTGTCAATTTTCTGCCTCCGCCTCGTCCGCTCGTTAACCCATACAAGTGCAGTCGCCTTGCCGCTGGATGAGTAATTTACTGTTAATAATTCACAGGTGAAAAATCCAATTGGCGGCCGATATTTGTCGTGCAATATTTTTCTCGCTTCCAATTGGGCAAAAATTTACAAGAAAAGTTAAACGCTGAATTATACGCAGAAATTAAATGCAAATCAAATTTTTAAGTAAAATGTGAAAAACTAGATTGTGGGTTCTAAATCAAAAACCAAAACCAACGTTAAATACCCACTGGCTTGGGGTAAACAATTTTATCCAACACATCATCGAAAATCCAAAAGAATCTTGATAGACTGAAAAAGGGACAATTGGAATACTTCATTTATTTTGAAATGGTAAGTTAGACATTTGCAATAAGCATTACTATAAATACAATGTGCATCCGAGAAAATAAGAAAAAATCATACAAAAACAGTTTTACACTTTAAAAAACCACACTTTATTTATAATTTGTTGAAAATAAAGTTATCATTAGTTATGATAATATCTACTAAAGGAACGAACAAATTTTGAAATAAATAAATAAAGAAACATGAAAAATTCCGACAACAAATTCTTTAATTTTCGTAAAGCCTAGTTTAGTTTTTGAAAATATTGAAAGAGAATTTATTAAAACGTATGCCCATGATGTAAAAAATCTTCTAACCAAAATATATTATTCGGTATAATAAAAAATAACAAATTTTAATCTCTTCAGATAAAATGCGTTTGTATCAAAGAAAGTAGTTCAATCCAAGAGCAGCAATTCTAACCCCACTTCAGACCTTGCTTCATAAAACTCGTAAAGGCTATTCGTTCCCCTGAAATCAAAACAAATTAATTAACACCCCAATCTGCGGAAATATCGGAACGGGGGATTGGTGAAGTGACTGGCTGGACCACTTCACTTCATAAGCAGTGAAATGTAACGGCGCCGTTGGCCACTTGAACTACTTTCATAGGCGGAGGCTCTGGGCCGACTTTACCCCAACCCCGAATTCGGGCCCGAACTTGGCTGACTCACTCATTTGACATAAAATATTCAGGGGTGCCACTGAAATCATTTCAGCTTCAGTTCCGCTCCAACTCCATTCATCGGTGGCACAGACCTTGTTTTTCCGCTAATTAAAAATTGCAGACTATAAAATCAACTATTTGACTTAATACTTCTATAAAACTGAGTTGAAGAGAATAAAGAGAATTGCTTAATTTCTGAATAACCCTGTTTAATAAATTTTTACATTAAACGCGATAAGAAAAAAATATATATAAATAGAATCTTAAACAAACCGGTTAGTAATTTTGAAAAAAAATATAAAGACAAATATTTATATTTTATACTTTTAGGAAATATTTTTTTAACATAATTCTTATTCTTGGATGAGCCGGTTCTGACCGTCTTTATAGTTTAGTGGAAATTTCATTATGAAATAAACATTTGAGGATGCCTTCTGTGCATGTATGTAAGGATAAAATATATATTTTAGGATCAAAAAAAATTAAAAACATTAACAGTCAAGAAAAAGCTATTTAATTGTTACTTTGAAATAAGAAATATAGGCGTAGGTTTAAATTAAAATATGGGACGTATCGCATTGCAGTATATCGATACTAAAATATCGGCTTAATTCTCATTTATTGCTTTTTTTTGCCCAGAAGCCAATATGTTTACTTTTTTGCTGAAACTATAAAAAAAATTGAATAACTTAATGAACAACTAGTCTTATTCGGATATTTGAAGTTATCGTCAGCAATGCAATCAATACGAATTAAAAACATGGTTTTCAATAAAAAATAAATTAAAGAAACTTTTCTTCTTTTTATTTATGCAGCTAAAAAATGGGGTATTTGTTGTAAGGCTTTTTAGAATTTTCTTCAATGACCATCTTAGCTAACTTCTGAATGTTAAAGTTGTAACACCGGTTTTATTGTTAATATGTTTAAAAGCTATTACTATTATTTTTAATGAACCAAGTTTTGTACTGCAGAAAAACTATGTTTTTGATATCTCTTATAATGGTTTCTAAAGGTATGCAATATACAACATATTTGTATATTCCAGAAGTACCACAGATTCATTGCTCTTCGACACTTTTTTAAAACCATCTACAGCTTTCAATATTGGCATATAGCTTTAACCGATGTAATCCCATTTTTTAAAAATAATTGTTCTGATTTTAAAGCCAAATGTTTTTCTTAGTGCAGGCCACCGGAAATTGTTTCGACAACGACTGCGAAAAAATGAGAGCAAAGTTTGGTTTGATCAGAGAGTTTCTGAGGAGAATAGTTGGCTAAATAAGGCAGTGCAAGACTCCAGACTCTGAACAATATGGCCCAGGCACGTTTTGAACTCTACCACACATTTCTTGAGCCGCGTCTTTGGCTCTTTCTGCTTTCGCGTGAGGCTTGACCCAGAAAAATCGAACACTCGCCAATTCTGCGGCTGATGAGGTTGAGGTTGGGCCAAATTTGGTGCTTCGATGAGCTCCACGAGAGGGACTGTCTCATAAACCATTTTAAATGTCGGGCTTATTATTATTTTGACTGCGACGGCTTGCGGTTTTTTTGTTTATTGGCTGTTCTTATTTCGCTGGTTCGCTCTTTAGATGCGGTTGCAGTTTCAACTTAACTCTTTTTATTTTGTAAGCTGGGCTTATGAACTCTTTCCCCCCTCTTCCCTACTTGTCTGAAGGTTAACCGCGAGTTTTGTAAGTTGATTGGCTCCGGTTTATCCACAACGTCCGCTTGTTTATGTTCTTGAACTCTTTTTAAGTGTGTGCGGCCTCAGACCTTAATTTACAACTTTCGTCGTCTTAACTTTGCGGAGGGTTTGATTGCCGACCGCTTCTAAAGAAGTCGCGGATCTGGTCCATTTTAATGGGGCGGAGTTGCAGCTGATTTTCGGAAACGTAACGTCATTTTGGCGAATGAATGATCGGTTTGTCTTGAAGTACTCCATATCTTAGTCTTCGGCTTATTCAGGTAGGGAATGTTTGGTACTAAAATGTATTAAGTTAACTTGTCCATAAACTAAAAACACAAACACAACTAAACACATAGTTTAGTTAGACTCCTATATATACCGCTTGGGAGATCATAACTTGTCTAGATATATCTTATGTCGATCTTGAGCTGCCGCAACTTATGCTATTTTTCGTTCGTCTGTTAGGTGCCAGCTGTTAACCGGTTTTGGAACCTGCCTTCGGGCGTACCCACCGCCACCGATTGCCCCGGATTCCTATGCCCCCTTGCCGTTCAACCTCCCACTTGCAATATATAAATTTATACATGTTCTTCGACGTCCGCCTGTTCCTCTCCCTGGCTTTGACTCTGACTACTAATTAGCAGTTAACAATTGCAACATTGACCTCCTCACCATAATTCTTTTTCTCATTCTAGTTTGCAAGCCACGAGAATAGCGAGAATGCTTTTTGCTTTGTTCCATTGTCTATGGCGAAAGATTTAACTAAAAGATACAAAAACATGGCAGCAGGTTTACCTTGTTGTAACCTCGCCAAGAACTCCAGGTGAAAAGGCAGAAAAAGAAAAGAACCCAACCTAGCCCAAGTTTTCCTTTGTCTAACAACGGGGAGAGAGATGAAGGGTAGCTCTGCTACCGCAACACAGTTGCTTGACATTTCTAAGACTTTTAATAATTTTCAGGAACCCCTTTTTGCTTGGTTCAGATGTTCGTAATGTTGGCCGAATCAGATACCAAGAAATGAAGATTGAAGTTTTAAGCCTATTTAATTTGATTTAAAAAATATTTATAAACTCTTGCATATTTACAATTTTTTCTCGATAATAATTCGATGGCATTTATGTGGGTGCAGTTTAATAGTTTTAAAGTTTTCAGCTTCCAAATTCCAGCGCAGACATCTTAAGATAATAAATTTAGGACGAAAAGTTTCCTTTATTTATAACCAATATGAGCAGTGAGTATTTATTTTTATGTGCAATTTTTGACCATTTGCAGTTGCCTGTTGTTGCTGTCGCCCTCTCTCTGTTCTTTTTTTTCGCATTTTGTTTGATTTTTGCAACTGGTAACTTTAACGATTGCCATAACTGTGGCAGCCGTTGGCTCGGTTGCCGTTGTGTGCTGCCTTTGCCGTTTTTGTTTCGTCTATACGTGTCTTTATAAACATGATCACTTTGGCCGATTTCTTGGCTTGACTCGGCACTTTTCAGTTGGTGGTAGAAGGTGATGCGGGGCCACTGAAAAAGACGAAAAACATGTTGCCCAAATGTTGTTGCTGCTGCAGTTGCATTTACAAGCAACCCACTGTTGTTGTTGTGGATGGTTGTGCAACAATTGGAAGCATTTTCGACTGCCGTTGAACTTTTGTTGGAAACGGAAAAAGAATATATGCCGCGTTAAAAAAAAGTTTTGAAATTCTATATCAATCAGATCACGAAGTGTTTTAAGTTAATAAAAATTGGTTGGTTATACCCTTGTACATGGTCTTATTATTATGGTCATAAGTTTGTAACGCCTTTCCGATGATATAAACTACATAAATTTCTGATCAGCATCAATATTCCTCGTTTTTTTTTATATTTCATTTTCGGATACCTTGATTGTAATAAAAATCGGATTACTTTATCCCATTTTCACTGCCATATTAATCTCACAGTCTAACCCTTATAAATAAATTTGATTATTTGCACATCGATTAAAAGATGTATAGGAACGATTGGGTAAAATTTTGTTGTTTGAACACAAGTTGTACAACAACATTCTATAACATTCGTAGTCCCATCGGCAACATTTTTAATTTTTTTCATATAGTTTTTAAAAAATTAAAATCGTTATAAAATTAATCAACCAGTGGTTTTTGTTGTGTATAATTAATTAAAATAAAAAATATTTACTTTTCAGTGTTCGGAATTCCTTTACAATGGGAGCTATTTTTAGGAATCTTAGTAAAAATGATCTTGGTTAAACCCTTTTCTAAGTTTTCAATATATTTTTTAAAATCAATTAATTGATTAGGCTGAAAGTATTTTAATAATAATATTACGATTTTTGAGAAAGCTTTAAGCCGAGCTATACCGCTTATCAAAGCAGACAGTCATAATCATCTTAAAAATTATCGGTATAATCTATGTATAAATATAAAAATGTACCTTAAAAACCTTTCTACGTCTATTAATTAATTGAGAAGTGCTTATTGATTTTCAATAAAAATTGACACAAACTTATCACCACACCCTCACCAATATTAAACAAATTCGTCCCTAGTGTCAGTCATTTAATTAAGGAGAAAATCAGCGCAAAGTCTACAGATTGAAAGAAATAAATCAATTGTGTTGTTTATTTATTTATATCACTGAAGGTCAGCTAATAAATCCCCGA